ACCCTTACAACCAAATGCAAAAACTACAAAAATGTGGAGCACCAACACTTGTAACAGTTTATGTGTAAAAATATTCAAAATAAAATGGCAACATTACAAATCCTAAAGAACATGGATAGTTAGCTCTGGTTTACGGCAAACGTATGTTTACAGTGATATATTCATGTTCATCTTCCTCTGTTGTTTTATAAACAGTGATTTATCTGATTTAGTAGAGGCTGTGGAACCCACAAAGTTGTTTCGAAATGAATTTAATGTTAAATGAACTATTAAAGCCATTATGGTAAGGTGAAATCTCCTGACCCTTGAAATGTTTCTTTAATTAAAACCCCCTGGCGTCCCTATGAGGTCATGTTGCTACGCGGATGTGCGTTGACGACCTAATAAGGATACCCCGGAATAAAAAAAAAACATGGTTTGAATAAATGTCGAACAGACGCAATGATCGAGAGGAATTGCGAGGAACTTGTTGAAGAATATAACACAAAAGATGCACCCTAAAATACATGTATGTATTGAAATCGCCACATAAACAGGATGCAGAATGTTACGTAGCCCAGACAACATCATGATACTTAGAAAAGGGACACGTCATATATTGGATCATTTGAGGTACAAACTTGAATCCTTGGGGACCTTACATGGCTTACCCGGCAACAAATAAACCATGTTCTATTTTTTACAACTGGACCCCTATCAAATTTGAAACTAATCTAAATAACCTTTCAATTGTAAAGATTTCACCTCAAAATTCTTGTTGCATATGCTCAACTGTGAAATTCCCTGGATAGAATTCCCATCTGGGATCATTTCTGGTGAATCATGTACGTTTTCAAGGTTTGTAAAGGCATCCATTGTTGAGAGGAATGTGGTGAATATTCGAAAAGACAACCATTTTCGTCTGATTTTGAATGTTTTTTCCATTAGATATATCAAAATTGAATCTAGCCAAAAGGATGCTTTTCATATTCCACATAATTAAACAGGGTGCTTGATCAGAATAAATGATTTACCTGTCATCGGTTTTAAAGTTATTTCAAAGGACGTTTGCTTTTTTCATAGTTTAGTAATACGAGAATGTATATATCCACAACGGACCTGTTTTATATACCATATCTTATAATATCATTGTACAACAGTTAGCATTATTTGCTGCGCATATTTTCCTGCATTTAAGTTAATTTGTTCATTGAATGTGATATAAAAAGTACGGTATGTATCATGTGAATAATCTGAAAATTACTCTTCATTCACTGGTGATCCGCTCGATTACGCTGGTTACCGAAATTTTTACATTTTTGTTACCGTTCGGTAACAAAATGTCGGAACGTCGAAGGTACGATTTTTTCATTTTTCGTTATTTCACGCGTTGTAGGCAGAATCTCCACGACGTTTTTTCTCACTACAAACGTGTATCAGAATATGTATTTAGAAAATGTACATGTTTGCGAAAAATAGCTCAGAAGACAACAGAATCATCGATTTAATTCCTCACTTAAGTTACATAAACGGTTTGGGTTAAAAGTGCAGATCTTAACTGTTTTTCGAAATACCGTTTATGTAACTTAAGTGAGGAATTAAATGGACGATTATGTTGTCTTCTGAACTATTTTTTCGCAAATATGTACATTTTCTTAGACATATGATACTGCTACACGTTTGTGATAAAAATGTCGTTGGAATTCTGCCTACAACGTGTGAAATAAGGAAAAAGGAAAAATCATACCTTCGATGTTCCGACATTTTGTAACCGAAACGAACCGTTTCGGTAACCAGCGTAATCGAGTGGATCACCAGTTTCATTTATACCTAACGAATAAACTCCATTGAATAAGAATTTGAATTCCGTTTTATGACGTACTCTACAAACAGATTTTATCAATTTTAACATTTTGACTAAAAAGATGATAAAAATTATATGATTGAATGTCAGAGCCAACAAGCCAATACCAGTAACAGGGAGGTATAGTATACATTGGAATGTCAACCTTGACGGCTAAATGCTATACTGGATGTACATGTATCTCGTTCAGGTGTTCATCAGTCACTTTTTTACTCTTGTTTGTGTCGCCTGTTGATTTTAGAGTATGAAAATCGTTTAACTCATGTATCATATCTTTGAAACGGCTGGAGTATTTGCAGGGAGATTAATACATGCCAAGTTTGACATTTTAGGTGAACTAATATTTGTGTTAAACCTGAAGGGGACATATGGTGATATGCATGCAGTTTTAACTTAAAGCGTGTTGTATGTGTTGAACTGCTATGTAACAGATGTGGTTTATTTTACATGACCCAGTTTCAACAACAAAACAACAATATTATAAAGCTTTAGGGGCAGAGATTAGACATTTATTAATGATCGTGTTGTTGTTTAAGGATTTAAGCCCTGGACTCAGTGCAATGTGGAATGACCATTCCTTGAAGGTGTTGCTCTCCAAAATGCGCAGCATCGAGCGTTAACTTTAGGAAACAAGGCCTGAAAGGAATGCATGGAGTCGCGGGCTTTAAATTATTTTCACACATTGTAAAATATTCTCTGCCATGTCACTTAAAAGATACGAAATAACTAAAAGAATATATTTTCAATGAAACCTTTTGCAATGGTCAAGCTGGCAAAGCATCAATTTCATTCGGTAAAGTCAAGTTGTCACCTTGACAACCACATAAGGAGTGACCTTAGATGCGGTGATTGGTGATATAATGCACTGCAGTTATATGAAATTCTGTGTTCGGATTGGCTGGAATCGGAAATACCTTGCCAAGCTATATGTGAATTATATATATATATTATATCTATTAGTTCAGGCTTACAGCGTCGTGATTTCTTACCAGCATTGTAAAGTGAGGCGTAGAAAATCAAAATGGGCCTTTTGAGTTTGAGTCTACCGTTGTGATGAGGAGTAAATGATACCCTTTTCCAGACTTGGACATTGGCGTTGTCCATCCACCTCTTTTAAGCATCTAGTCCTCTCCCTTGACCATTATATGTGTGAGAGATGGTTTGAACAGGTTATTGGTGCAAAATTAGCGTGCTCAGTGCACAAGTTGATTTCGAATGTTGGCCCCTAATAGTGTGTGGGGTAGGTGTGGTTTATTCTACATGATTTAATATATATTCTTCAAATGAATCGGATATGATCTTGTTTGACATATATCCCAGATGAGTACTTCCACCTGTCAGTTATCACAGACCAGAACCCACATTACCTTAAAGTAAAATGAAATGAAACGAAAGCATCCAGAGTAATTCATTTTTGAATGTCTTTTTATAATGCCGTAAAGTATATGAATGATATGATTACTGTTATTGCTTGATAAGGTTTATCATGTTTAGTTGGTTTTTATGTTTCTGTTTTTCAAATGCTAACTTTCCTGACTTCTAATATTTCCTTGAACATTTTGAGAGCTCTGCTCAAATAACCGCTTAATTATTCATGTGGTATACTGTACATATTGTACAGTCAGTTTTGATTCATCACTGCCCTTATCTGCCCAGTGCTTCATAACAATATTCTCGAGAGAAGGCAAGCATCTTGGATTTCCAAGGTATGATGTTTTCATACAGTGTGATTGAAAATCAAACTGGGAAACGAGTATGAGAAGACAGAGAGATTCCCAGACCAAGTCTCTATAAACATGGGTAGCAGAAATATCATTGCAGGGCTCAGTGCCCAGGCCTTGGATGTATAGAAAATCGACCATTTTGTCTGCTTGACACCCGACTCCTATAATTGGCCATGGTCGGCAATATTTGGGAAGGGTGTCTATATTTAACCATGGCAGCACGATCATGATTCCGTTTACTCATTGCTGCAGGAGGGTTACCAAGGTGAGTTATGCTGTTTCCATAGAGCCCTTGAAAATATACTCATGGATTATGTGCCAACAAAATATACCAGTCTTAGATTCCAACCTTTGTAAATACTTCTACCGCCGAGTTTGAGTGAGTTGTTCAGGTGTCAGTTAATGTAGTATTCAAGAAGAATATTCAAATAATTGTTTATAATTTGATGAACGTATTCGAATATTCTTTAAAAGGATACCACTGATTCACACTTGTTTAGGTTGCCAGGTAACACATTTCACCATTTTACCTAAAATCCTTACAGAAGAAATAGAATGACAATAATCGTATGACTCCTCGCTGATGTTAAAACATTTGTAAAATTCAATTAGATGGTATCAATGAGTGGACACTTGACTCTACTTAACCCAAGGTATTAAGAAGAACAATTTTCTCCCCAAACTAAAATTATAAAGCCAAAACCTGAAAGTATTATAATCCTTTGGAAGGCAATCTGAAGTTAGACTATCTTAAGGGTGAACATGATTCACATAATAATATAAGTGCATCAATAGCCCTCTGAGCAGCAATGTGTATATGTGGAATCTCACTTTCAAACCATAAAAAGTCTATATAATACCACAGTAATAACAGCACATTTTAAAAACATTTTGTCCCCCCCCCCTCCCATCTTCACACCTCCATGTTCTTCTTCTTCCAGAGGAGAGTGGAAAACAATTTACGTCATTAATTAGTTAACATGCCATTCAGGTTTGTAGAAAGAGAGTATCTTGAAATGTATTTTTGGAATCCAAAAACAATAAATAAATGTAACGGGATTTTCCCCTTGTACTCAATATATATGTTACCTGAAGTATCTGTTGAATTTGAATTCAAAGACAAACATTTATGATTGTATACGTATTCATCTGTATACTTGGTCTGTTTCATTTGTTGTCTTCATGAAGACACTGGACACTTCATCTGTGCGCTTGGCATAACACACCTTTGGACACTTACCGGACAGGACATACTAAATGTATGTTTGACAAGACATTCATACTACTTATTAAGACTTAGCACTCGATGAACTTAAGACTGAATTTGCAATGTTCATAGTTGGACAGGGTTCATTCAGATGAACACTTGAAGGAACATCTATCACTCAGACATAGATTGAGCACATCTATGTATTAAGCTTGAGAGAACGTACCTTTCGCTTTAGGTAATTCGGAGCACCTACACGCAGGCCCGTCATCTGTGCTTATACATATACAGCCATCACTGCACGGGTTTCTCCTGTCATCCTCACATGCTTCTGCTGGTTCAGGAGACGCGTTGACATAATCTATATAATGTGCCCTAATAGGAATAAACGTGCAGTTCTGGTAGATAATGTTCCTCATCGATCCCTTGAAGGCCTGGGCAGTATATCGGATAGTAGGAACTGCCAGTTTGTAGAGGTCTATGGGAGGAATACCCCCGAAGTAGACATCGGCATTTGTCTTGATGTCACCGAAGTAAAAGTCAGAACCAAATGCTGTCTTTTGCGTCGTTTGGCCATCCACCTGCAGCTCAGTTTCCATGCGATTCCGCTGGATTTTCACAGTATGCCATTGACCGTCATTCAGGAATGACCCGAGCTGGAGGTGAATGTGTCCTTCGAAACCATCAACAATGTTCAATAACACTCGAACTGCCCCTTCTGGGGTTAGATTTACTTGGAAGAAGTCATTCCTCCCACCGTCATCCGTGTACATTAACAAAACAGCTGAACGTGTTGTTTTGAAATCAAAACTAATCGAGGCATTGACACAGGCGTTCCATTTGGGGAACCTTGCGTATGACATCGGGTTTTGGGTACCTCTAAGTTCAATTCCATGACAAACAGTTAGCACGGACGCTAACACTATAAGTAACTTTACAATCATCGTTTTCATATGGCTATTTTAGTACTTATTAACTACCACATAACATCCATAATGCAAATGTAATAATCTTAGACAACTGACACCGTTTGGGATGTGTGAACAGCGTTTGCTATTAATCCAATGGCAATCTTATCTGTCGTCCAGATATGGTTCTTCACGTTGTTCCGGCTTATGGATCTCTATAGGCCTCTTATCAATAGGGTATATATCCTTTATGCTCTCCTATGTCTCCAGGAGAGTTGAAATAGAATTCTCTGATTATAAGCAGAACTTTCTGTAGTTCAGGTAAAGTGGTAGAGTTTGATGACACTCAGAACTTCTATGTGTATCAGACTTTGTATATGTTTATCGCATTGACATTCACTTTACACTTACCTAACTGAATTGTTTTTGAAGGTTCACTATAATTTAGTTTGCTGTGTTCTTGCACTTGGTACTGTAAGGCCCGTCCAATAACCCATAATGTTCTATACTGGTCTAAAATAGCTAACCTGGTCTGAATTAGTCAGTTATCAGTAGTATGGTGGGAGTGAGGTGAACTTTTAGTCATTTCCAGGTTCAGACTATTCATTTAATGAGGTTAATAAACATCCGAGGAATGTTAATGTACTTCCAGATACAGTTCTCCTCTGCCAAGAGTCTGTGTCACTTCATCAGCTTGTTGACTGCTGTTGAGATTTGATATCAAATATAGCATCTATTATCTCTCTTATGTATATGTGTTTTGAACATGCTTTGTTCCTGTATATACCTATTCTATGGCGAGTCTTGACCTTTACAAGCAGAAGTGGCCAGCTGAATCAGGGAGATTATTTATAGACATTTCTCTCGTGTTTCTGTTGTAGGCAGCAGCTATTACTCATTATTTGGAAAATACATTTGTTGTTTTTTACAATTGTAAAAATACAAACTCAGAATAGGAAATTGACTCTATCTGTTGCTGTCAATCATAATGTAAGGTAGGACCCCTGGTCACTAATACAATCAACACGCATTGCACCGAACGGTGTGTTGAACTATCTTGTCTCTCTCTAAAGGACCGAATAGTTTGGTAGATGTTGGTGGAATAGAGGGCCATATCATTTGATATTCATAATTAATTTAAATCATGTACTTCATAATCCGTTCATGTTCATTCCTCTGCAAACATGGATGGTTTGACAAGTTTGGAAATTACACAATGAAAGTGCTGTGCTTGGTATTTTCTTGCTCTTCGTATTTCCGCCGATGGAATGAACATAGCAAGATGGATTAGAGGATAATTGATGTGTAAAATGACCCTCTCTACTGGATTGGGATAAGGAGCTTGCTGTTCTTCACCGACATTTGGTATCGCATCGATTCACTGCACCAATCCCCTCCCTCCATTTCTCAACCCAGAACTCATATTGGTAGCTGTAGGTATATATAAGTTGGCTCGATGTACTATACTTACCGACAGCAACCATTTGCAAACCATTTACACAATATTTTGATGTACAAACGATATGTCAGGAGTTAGAGCGATATGAACGCTGAAATGCCTTCCAGTTAGACAGTGTAGTGATAAATTAGATAAACAACCGAAAATAGATGATTTAAATGCCCCTATGGCCAAATGAATGTTTCAGTGAATTGAAATACATATACCTCTATTTCCCTGGTTTCTCACACAAGAAAAAGAAATCACATTATCAAATACTGATCATGAAACATTGAAGTTGAAGACATCCCTACTCCTGAGACTCTACAACTCCACTAATATTGTGTCTCAATAATTTAGGGGGATGGTGAAGTCGCCGTTGGTGTCGGGGAGTCCTAGTTAGTGATCTGCAACTATACATGTGAGATAACAAGGTAGAAACGGTATGCCAATGCTAATTTTACCAGCTGGGAGGCGGCCTCTCCTTCAGGACTGAGACCATGATCAGCATCAAAAGTCAGAAAAAGAAAAGGATTTTACACAAGTGATGTTCACAGAAAGACTGGTGCCACATAAAAGACCATGGGCAATAGAGAGGAATCTCAAAAAGTCTTAATATAACGCTCATAAACGACAATCATAAGCAACAAAATATTATTCGTTTGAGGGCCAGACAACTTGAAAATTAATATCGTCGCGTGCAAGTTGATATTCATAAAACAGATTCAAACTGTGCAGACAAATCAAATTTCTACAATATGATCATGAATTGTTAGAAACATGGCCCTCTACTGGCAGTGTCATATGTTCAATCATCACTTTTAAAGATGTGTCAATAGTCTCAATACCATATCATTGTCAATGTTGAAATGTTCATGATAAACTGACAAACCCATCATATCTAAAGTAACCTATATCAGTGCATGATGCATGTTACTGAAGACCAGCTCCTAGCCCAACCTCACATGAGGTACCTAGCTACATGCTTGAGGACTATTTCCACCGGGAGACAATGCCATTTCTTGGTATTGCTTTGTGCATCACATTGCCTTGACACATAGCAAAATAGAGTACCTGGTTAAAAGGGCCTAACAGACCTCAAAACGGTGCACGTTTGTATTTACGAACAATATATCATCATGAAAAATCGCTATCTGCAATATATTTTATTGATCATTCAAAAATAGTATTCTTATTTGTAGATCACTTAATCCATTTGCTTGGATTAACAAAGTCTTAAAAAATTGTTAAAATGTGTATTGTGTTCTAATTTGCTAACAAAGTCCAATACCATTAAATGTTTTTTTTATTAGTCACTCAGTTGTGAAAAATGATATCATTAAAAGAGGCATTTTAAGAGCTACTTTTAATGACCGTCTTTAGTTAAATAAAGTGATTCATAAGTGCACATTGGCTCTAAACAGTTTTTCAGATTATGACTTCACACATTGCCTAAATATTTTCAGACAGTTGAGTCGGGCACGGTCGAAAAAGCTATCGTTTACAACAATTATTTACCTTTTGATATTACAGCAGGGATGATTTGGAAAACTACCAGAACAACTGTGAAAGGTCAATGTTAGAACGCTAGGATAGGATAGTTTCATTTGGAAAAGTTAAAACTTAAGTCCATGGGCTTTCAACTCTAATTGAAAGCCCATATTAAGTCAAATGCAACTTTAGAGACAATGATGTTACTCCAATTCAAAATTCAAGTTGAATAGAATTGTTTGAAGGAAATAACTGCAGATATACACGTTGTTTTGTTCGCATCTTGCATTGCAAAAGGAAATCCCTCGTGCGTTTTGATGGTTGACAGCTTGTCCTTTTCTATACAAATATGTTGTGATTGAGCCATATGATTGAATAATATAGATGGTTAAATTAGCACAATTGCTCCGTTGATAAATTCATCTGTTGACAGGTTCAGTCCATGCATGTCATAATATTCACCATGCACTACCCTTTTCAATAGCTCTTATTTTCGCATCAAAATATACTCCGAGCCTCTATAGGCTTTTGGGGCCATGCATTGGTGTTTTCCCGATCAACTCCATCACTTCAAGATCCGACCCCCTCCCCCACATATATAAATGGCTTGTCAGACTTTCAATGATAATGGTAAGAATCAGGCTCATTCTATAAACGCGGGAGTCTTGGATGAGTCGATCCTTCTTGATTCGTCAAAAATGGCAAACTACCAAATCGAATAAGCCATTTCTCGACAATGTGTGTTTGAATGTAACATCCACGTGTTAATTATAAAAATAGAACCGTCTAGCTTCAACATTGTCTCTAATTAGAGTGGAATTAATTGGCATTGAGAATGTGATCATTATATCTTAATTAATGATACAGTTCAGAAGAGTGCACAATGATTAGAAATTGAGACGTTTTGAAGCTAATAAATTGATCCAATTGATATTTGCATAAAACACAAATGATTGTTTTTTTTCGTTTCGGGTCAATAAGCTCATTGATCTGTTATTGTAATATATCAAAAGGTATTCCTTTATATTCCCCTTTGTCACTATATACAATCATATGCCTACATTAGCTTTTTAGCCGATCGCCTCAACCTTCAAGAGTATTTCATCGCAGAAAGAGTCTTATCATTTTTTCATTTCAATACTGGTCTCAGGGTATGCAACTTGTGAAGTTGAGGTGAACAGTGGGGAAAATCATCTTGCACCCAGTTCATTAAAATGAATTTACCATTGTTGATTCCACAGCCTGTACTATTAATTCCAATACAAACTCACCCACAAGCGTTCGGTAAAGAGGGCTCTGATGTATCATAATATGAATTTGTAATTCACGAAACCTTTATTTTCATCAAAGATACCAGGAAAGTAAAATTATAGTATTCTTTGTAAACTTATTGAGTTGCATATTTTGACATAGCTGCAAGGCAAGGTCTGTCTCACATCACATAATTGATGAACAATGATTGCTATGATATGACAATTAATTAAAATCGCCTTAATAAGTGCATATCTAAATTGATGTAGCATCTAAATGATTTTTCATGTTGTATATACCGATGTACGATGAATTGTTCATGTAATTGAATGTTTTGTAACAGATGACTTTTGCTATTAATTGACTGCGAACTTGAATCTCTGTTGTATACTTCAATTCATCATTCACCAAAAATTATAAATTGACAAATACTTATTCACACTGGCCACTTTGTCTTGGTACTATCCAGTAAGAAGATATAATGTTCCATTGTGTATTAAAAAGCTAGTTTGATAATCTTGGACACGTTCGCTTAACATCATAACATGGTAAATGGAGTTATTTTCCAAGCTCATTTTAGGGGTGTACATGCATATTTTGAAGGCACCTGCAAACACATGTGTGGGGGCGAGTTAGACGAAAAAGGACATTTACCAAGTTTGCATTTTTGACATTTATCCTTATTTTCCCAGACATTTCTAAAATAAAATGTTGTCCTCAGAAAACCAACCACATTCTATTCCACTTTAGTCAAAATAATTTAGTGACCATTATTGATTCACCGTACACCTATGTAAAGAAATAATTCCGACACACCGGCCGTTGTTTGTCATAATTTACAAAAGTTGAAAATCCTTTTTGAAATTCCGAACTATGGTCTTGCTAAAGCTGATAAGTATTTGAATCATTATTATGGGTTATTTTATGAATATGATGTGTTATGAAGTGTCACGAATGGATATCGTAAACTTATTTTTGAAAGGGAAATAGTTATGCTTGGACCACGCTTGGGGCTTTAGGTACATTGGCAAGTATGCGATACGAAGGGTGTGTGAATGCGAAATGTGTGAAAGGCCATAAATTAACGAAATATAATCACAGGTAATGTCAAAAATGAGGCAAACTTTTAAAAGTGTATAACTTAATAAGTGTCCCCACTCAATTTAATGTATGTAGGTGTTTAAATAACTTCGTATCAAACACTGTGTAAATAAATCTACAACATCTAATAAGTTTAAAAACATTTTGAACAATCCCCAAAAAACGAATGACATACATGTACTTCAAATAGACGAAGGTCAGTTCATAGATAAGAATATGAGTCCTTCGTATTTCTAAAAAATATTTTTTCACACATACCAGCTATTTTTCTGGCCTGTGATATTTTGAGGTTACATTTACCATTTCGATACAATTGGAAACGTGATATTGACCTATTTTCTGTAGCTCTGCACCAGCCTGAAACTTCTCTGCGTGTACTTGCTAATATCGATAGACAGCGTTAACAATCGAAAATAAAGTAGTTCAAATGTTTTGAACGGTTGTGTATATTGAACTAATCGAAGTTCAATGTCCATTTGAGGGCGGATGGAAGTAGAGACTTGAAACCAAATGCAAAATCGCAGTTCTTCATCCACTTTCTCTCATTCAAATATGTCGAACTGTCACGGTGACATTTTAAGCATTTTAAACATTCGTTTGTCTTATAGGCAAAAAAGTTATTGTGACCAGATAATAAAGCATTTTACCAAACCAAAAATGTACGTTAGGAAATAGAGTTCGTTTGCGAAAGGATATAAAAAGCCACTTGTTAATTTATCATTTAAAAGGTTCATATGTAGTAATTATATCGTAAATGATTTTATCTTCAATTGAGACAACTGAAAAGACCGCTTTCATAAACGCGGAGTTTGTGTCAGACATTGAGGTTCTTAAAAGGGAAAATACCATGACTGTGGTGAAAATTGCAAGAACTTAAACTATGTATCTAAGAAAAGCATAATATGATCGAGTCTTATTATATCTTATCAAATGGGAAAGTTTTCTATATTTCTGAATAAAAGTTAAAATGAGGTTTGAATATCATGATATTGAACCAAGGAACCCTTGATTTAACAACTTTCATAATAGTACTTCTTTAAGTCTAATCGTCCCTTTAAAATCATCAGTGGTAGAATTAAATATGAATCACCCAATAGTTGTTCATTTGGCATCGGAAATGAGACTATTTTTGTACAATAAAACATATTTGTTCCATAAATTGTTTGGAACTGAATCCACAACAGACGGGACCAGTTGGTTTATAAACAATATTTGTGCCTATAGTTATTATATTAATATATGAATGCGCTGCGTCTGATGGTAAAACACAACGGATGTATTGAGATACATGTGTAGGTTTGCATCGTTTTTTACATACTAGATATAAATGGTATCGATTATAACTAGTATAAACATTGAGTAGGCGCTGACTTTAATAGATCGATACTTGTTTACATCAGATATTTTCAAGTTAAAGCTTTCATCTAGACTACTCGTAAAAGTTAATTGATCAAAACATCAAATCTGATGAATACATTGACCTAAAAACATACCTGATTTGCCACAGCCTAGCTCTGAGCAGTCACAGAATGGTCCCTCATCTTTGCTTACACAGAGACACCCCTTTTTGCAAGGATTTCGTTCTTCACACGCCTCCTTAGGAACTGTCACGGCATTCTTGCCATCCAAATAACTGACCCTAGTAATATCACAGGAGCAATTTCGATATAAGATGTTTCGTATTGAGCCACTAAAACGGTCATTCAAATAGGATGCAGGATCAGCTAACGAATGGATGTTGGCCCAGAATGAATGGGGAAGACCCCCAAAGTAAACCATGGAGTTTGTCTCCAATTTTCCAAAATTGAAATCCGAACCAAAAGCAAGACGTTTTTGTTCTTGGCCATCTAGATAAAGAATTGTCTCCATTCGGTGGCGGAGAATCTCGACCTGATGCCAGACACCGTCCCCGAGATTGGACCCGAGTGTTAACTGTACGAAGCCTTCATGTCCATCCACGATATTTAGAGTCAATGTCAAAGCTCCATTTGTTAGGTTTAGTTTAAAAAAGTCATATCTTCCACCGTCGTCAGTGTAAAATATCAATGCATCTCGTTGTCTTGTTTTAAATTCAAATTTAATTGATGCATTTATACAAGCATTCCATTTAGGGTACATTGCATATGACCCGTCCGTTCCTGTTAACTCTAGTCCCCACCCTAATCCTAGTATCCCCAGTAATAAAGCATATGTTAACAGCCGCCTTTCTACGGCCCAACGCTCCGCCATTTTTAAAACTATTCAGCGGTAGCGTCGTCTATTTTGTATCCAACTCACGTACTCTGCATGAATTACATTATTAATATTCTCCCAAGAACGCCATACCTTGATAAACTGGATGTATAAATAAATGGATCCTTCTCAATCTGTTTATGCAAAATGGACTGCATACAGTGTTAATTAATAATCCAAGTATATCTAAGACAGCGATAGTCTCAGCACCTCAACCGCTGTTTGTGTTTATCCGTCTGATCCCCTTGCCGTTTCTTTTACTCTGTGGTGTTACTCCTACCAGTGTTCGGTGCTTTCTGTTTGTCTGGTGTGGTGACAGTGCGGACTCACTCACTTCCAGGTTAAAACTCCTTTGTGAGGTTGTTTGGTCCTTCTCCCACGCATCCTGGCCTAAACCTCCATTATAGACAACTCAATGTGTTTATTAAAGTGTTTGTGTCATGTTAGCCTACTAACCACATACATACTGTACATGTACACTCTTAATATAATCTAGTATTGCATTCGATCAATGAGCCATTCATAAGCACGTTTAAAAAATCTACCGGTTCAAACAACTAATGCGAACAGTGTCAATACACTCCTCGTTTGGTAAAAAGACACTTCAGATCGGGTATTTTACGTCAGGTTTTAGTGTTATCAGTGTAGGTGCAGAGGAATGTTGAATCAAAATTACAGGTACGGTAAGTTACGTTACCTGACATATAAATTCCCTTGCGGAGAAATATATCATCATACTTAAGGCCTAAACATATGTCTTTCCAACATTCAAATTATATATGAAACCTCTCTGCAGACGATGCGATCTAGGATATTCGGGGCATATCCCAAGTTCAGAGGATAAAATAAGGGGATACTTTCTTTTACGATTTTTGGTTCATACTTGCTTTTTTAGCGGTTTTGAAATCGAAACTCTTCATCACTGTGTTCTTACTACACATTTATTTTAAATCGACTTTGTGATCACTTCATGTTAAGGACATGGATAGAGTTAACCATCCCAAAAATTGTATATGACACTTCAATCTAAAAGGTCATGCAAACATGAAGAACAAATATGAAGCCGAACTGACAATATCTTAACTTCCTATCCCGTCCCGGAAAAGCATTTTAGTGCTAAAATGTAGTGATTAATATCGTTTCCCTATATAAATCTCTAATTTATAATTAATTGTGTTATATTTTTCACTATTAACACCTATCAAAATCAACATGTTACAACTTTAAATGGCAAAGATTTATAGATGTCATCATGTGCCTATAGTATGTCGTCTGGACTGTAAACATGGGACAGACAGCTTCTGAATCGACAGAAAGATGTCACTATGGTTTGTCGAGATATATTGAAGTTTATACTTAGATAAACTTTTACTTATCACATCAACGTAACATATCTAACAAAGTTTTATTGAAAAAGTAATTATCGAAAACTATGAAAATGATGTCCATTAAATCATAAATTTTAAATTTAAAAATCTTAAATTTGCTTCGCATTTATCTTTAAATTAACCACATCTATTGTCCTTGCTTTTGATGATTGTCTCTTAGCCATATTGCATCTGATTGACCTTGTACGGTTCATCTTAAAACATCGATTAAATGAAGATGTCAACTCCAGGAAAGGACTCATCTTCCAAAGAATATTTAAAATGGCCGCCTTCATTTCCATTAGTCTTCTCCAATTTTCTTTGAGAAACTTTTTTGAAATCTGAGGTACAGAATTAAAAAAAACATGTTTATAGATTTTCGTGTACCACTGGTCTGTGCATCATGCACCCTTTATTGTAGACTATATTCAAGTAGCAATAATCATGATTTACGCCATTAAAATTAAAAATTCAGTCAAAGTGATATCATATTTGAAATCTACATGTAAAATTTCATGGTTTTAAAAAGTGTTGATCTAACTTTGAAAATTTATTTTTCTTTGAAAATGTGACTTCTAGTTCGGGATGATTCTCCATACGACCCCGTGATGTAAAATCAAATCAGATGTTTTATTTTATTGTACAGATTGTTTTTACTGACACATTTTAATTTGTATATTAGATACATACGGGTTATATGGAAATTGAACCTCTTTTGATGAATATTCAAGATAAAGAGAACTTCTTACTATATCTACCATGCTATCTGGCCCGTATTAGCCAGCTGGTGGTGAAACTGGTAACTACTTACTCACATCTGGGTTATTGTTTCCATTAGTCGTGCCAAAGGCTGTTACGTTATTAATGAGAAAATGGTTTTTGAGTCAGTACTTGAGACTTTAAGCCATTTTAACATCATAATAAAATATAGAGAATACGTGTAACTTTCAAGACAAGATGCATGCCAAATAATATTTTATTCGAAAATTCAAAAATACATTTTGTCGTACATCCCTTTCCAGAAATTATACACTGGAAGCTAATGCCCATCGTTGGATGACGTTTACGTAATCAACAATGGTCGACTGAAGTTGGTAGTATTTAGCGGCAGTATATCTACAGCTGAATATATATTTGAGTATGAAGTCTAATTATCGGATTTTTTATAATATTGATTCATACCTCCAAATTCTGATGACCATTTCATTACAGGTAATCCGAAGAAGTTACTGCACAAGTTTTTAAAAAATCAGGTTAAAAATAATAAATTAACATTTAAATGTACATGTTGAGTCATAAAGGTCCACTTGATTCTAGGGCCAAACAAGATATTTTCCGGATAAAATACTACATACATAACGTCAGCAACTTTTATAATTATTTAAATATTCGTTCGACCAGTACCATTATTGGTAGGCTTATAATTGTTGCGATTGACAAGATCAGTCCAAATTATGTGTATGAAAATATCATCTGATTTGTGGACGGAATGTACTTACGAAAAAACACGATTATCCACCCAACTTAGTAATTGTTGTCAAAATCACATGCATGTTTAGTGAAAAATATTTACACGAATCAAATTTTGGGACAAGGGTAAACTAAAATAGAGACATTTCCCCGATGCCATATGGTCAACACTTCAACAGCAGTAGAAAGAGTGGCCTTTAATTTGAAAATTAGTACGGTACTATTGAGTCTTTTGATTTATAACGTCGTTCTGGTGCGTTGTCTTGTAACACCATCATGGTACTTCTTTAAATAGATTAGAATGTTTGTTTGTATAAATTAAAGGTCTCCTCATATGAACGAATCCACTAAAAGCAGCTTGCGAATTGGGTAGATACACTGGTGATCCACTCGATTACGCTGGTTACCAAAACGGTTTGTTTTGGTAACAAAATGTCGGAACGTCGAAGGAACGATTTTTCTCTTTTCCTTATTTCACACGTTGTAGGCAGAATTCCCACGACATTTTTAACACAAACGTGCCTCAGCATCATATGTTTTAGAAAATGTACATATTTGCGAACAAATAGTTCAGAAGACAACAGAATCGTCGATTTAATTCCTCACTTAAGTTACATAAACGGTTTTTCGAAAAACAGTTAAGATCTGCACTTTTAACCCAAACCGTTAATGTAACTTAAGTGAGGAATTAAATCGACGATTCTGTTGTCTTCTGTGCTATTTTTTCGCAAACATGTACATTTTCTAAAACATATGATGCTGATACACGTTTTTGTGAAAAAACGTCGTTGGGATTCTGCCTACAACGCGTGAAATAAGGAAAAAAAGAAAAATCGTACTTTCGATGTTCCGACATTTTGTTACCAAAACGAACCGTTTTGGTAACCAGCGTAATCGAGCGGATCACCAGTGAGATAGTAAATTTAGGCGACTGGGAACGTTAACATGCGCAACGTTACGCGTGCTCCTGAAGCTGTCCGAAAAGAACACCCAAACGATGTACAACGTATAGGGTGTATCAACAAAAACTGTACCTAACTAACAATGAATATCTCCTCTGGCTCAACCAATAGGGTTTGATCAAAGAAAGTTTCCACAGTTAAAACTAGTTTGATGTTCTTTAAATTGGCAAAGTGTCACCACTATAGCAAATGCATGGCCCCTCTGCTGGCCGTTCAAACAATGTGCTCCAAAGGGGCACTGCGTCTCTGAAGACAGTTGCAGATGCTTGGCAAAGTTGTTATCATCGCGTATACATTATCCCTGGTTGAGGAAGTATTTATTGTTAGGTGGGTAACGTTTCTTTGGTACACCGTGTACATGTACTAATGGGAACGAATTTTACTTAAGTCCTATTCGTCAGTACACGCAAATTGATTTGGTTTTTTTCGTTAATATGGCAGGGGGCTTTAAGCTCCACTAAAGTTCACTCACAATTAACAAATTTTCCAAGGTCCAGTACTACGAGCCTTCTGGCCAAATCAGTTAAGGGCAAATCTTTTCAATCAGCAGTTTTTAAACCATTGTTTGTGTGAACTTCATTTGAGATTAAGCTGTTGACGAATCTAGAAAGATGTAAAAAGCAATCCACTCCGTCATTTATATAAATTACATAAATATAAAAATGTTTTCACTTCTATAATGTGAAAGCCAAATAATTTCAAATTCAAGTTAAAGCCTACTTTTGGTGACAAATTGGACGCTTTATACATTTCTGCTTATATGACGTATATTCAGTGTTCATTCCAATCACTTACTAGCGATTTTACGTGACTTTTCCTAAATAGACCATTAACCCTTTTCTCAAAGAAAATCAACGATCCCAAATAACGTTTCATCGCGTCTTTTTTCTTTCACTTCGAAACATTGAATTATACTCGAAATGATCCAATTTAAGTGTACCAAATGGCAACACAGGTAATTCACATCAGAATACATCAACGTCCATATCTATGTAACGTTGTCACACTGCACCTATAACTTGTTGCTCCAGTTTCCGCTGTTCGTCGTCGGCGTCATCGTCCATTATGGGAAGGCCGTTGCTCACTCCATTCCCATTCATATGACCATTCTGGTCATAGTCATCGTCAAGCATTATCTTTGTCTGTCCATTGGAATGATTCTCAACGGGCGGGGCGTTTTCTTTTTCCTTTTCCTTTTTGTCGGCGTCATCCTTTCCACCGAACGCAGTATCATCTCTCATTCCTGATGCGTCCCATACACGAAGCGTTGCGTCGTGAGAACCAGTGAATAGCTTCCCCTCACTGATCTGAAATAACATATCTTCATTGCTAATTACATCAAATTATACCATACAACGCAAGCTTACAATATGCAGAATTACCTAGTCACTATGTATCTGTCCAAACATTTCAACCTAGTTCTAGTTGAATTTCTCAGAAAATCTTTTATCTCCACATTAAGATTCGCAATTCTATTATATTCTAAAACTTCCAAAAGCCTGTTGTGTTTGAATCTTAACAATTCTTTAACTACAACAGGACAGACAAATGACGATGATTTCATAATTATGATAAAATTGTCAGAAATGAACAAGTTTTGACACATTGTAGGGTACCCTGCGCGCAGAGTCTAGTTATAAACTACCGCGAAGACAAAGCTCTCTTTTAGAAGTGCAGTCTAACGAATGCAAAGGGTAATTGTAGGGCATATCTGTATATGCCAAACTTTTAGAGTGGGTTTACAACCACAATCTCTAAGAGGGTGTAGTCTAATGTTTGAACAAAACGGGAAAATGGCGAAAGATGCTATGATTACCATCGAAAATACTTCTGATTTTGTTAAAACAGTAAACAATAGTGATTTTAACAGTGACGTGCAAAAACTAACCTGCAAACAATTGACTGCCGATTCATGTCCTTTGAAGCTCCTCTTTAGAGCTCCAGATTTTGCGTCATATACTCGGGCAAGATTGTCACCACATCCAGTAAACACTGAAAATGAAAAGCATAAGCCTATATGCTCGGTGAGGAATGTCACTTTTAGTTGCTAGTAAGATGACCTTCGACTATTATTCTTATTGCTTATACGAGTATTTTATTCCATCATGGTGAAATTCCCTGCAACCTAACTTTGTCAATGTGACTTAAATATATTCTGTATTTACTATTTACACGCACCCTCAACTTAGCGTGGGATACGAGAATGAAATGACGTCACTGGTGGGATACGCCTCGTGAAATACAGACTTTCTCTGGCAAAATATTTTCTGTATTTAACTCGAATCATTGAATAACTTATATTATTATTTCTCTGTAGTGAACACATATGGAGCCCAAAATGTGTTCCCAATTGGTAGATGTTCACTCCATAGAGGCAATTTCATACAGAAGTCAGAGGAATATTTGATAAGAAGAGATGTTCACTAGAGAAAGATATTCATTGATACAGGTTTTACAGTGCAGCACGTTTACCAAGACTTTTTTATAATTTCAGTCTATGCAAAACGATGAATTTCATGAATTTCAAATAATCACAAATTAAATCTGTATTGGGATCATCTTATAAACAGTAATATTATGTGGTAAAAGGTTATACATCTGTCGAATTGCAGGATGTCTGTGTGCTATTTCGAATAAATTCATATTAGCCCTATTTACACGACACGTGACATTCCAAGACGTCTTGGCGAAAACGTATTAGAAATATTATGTTGAGTTTACACCATATTGATTCATGTTGATTTCAGTACAAACCTCCGAAAAATGCGAAGAGTGGTCGTTTTTATATCTCAGATTTACGTTACCCCAGATTTCCCAGATGCTACTTGTCATAATTCAGGAAAGTGATTTGTGACGTTCTCTCTTCTAAGGGTACTTTTAAAAGATATAATTTGCATCAAGGAGGATTGGCTCCCAGGATCGAAACTCGATATTTTCCAACAATGAAAACGTCGAAATGTCGTTATTTTCTGAAATTAAAACCGACTATAAATTCAAAATAAACAGTTCAAAAGATTCGAACCAATATCTCGATCATTTCTTGTGAGTTTTGGAATTTTTCGTTTGGAAATAAGACCAAAATTCACGATTTAAATGTTGAAGTGAACAAAATGGCGGCTGTTTGAATTCGAATTTTGTATTACGACATACCCATATATGGGACAGAATATCGGTGGTGCACTCTGGGAGCCAATCCTCCTTGATTTGCATCTTATATTCTTAACGTAGTTCACAGTTAAAACTGCTCCGTCACAGCTGACAAAAAATGTAAACATTTTTTTTTTTTTAAATATTAAAAATACCCAATACGTCAAGATATCATTAATGCCTTCAGAGTTATGCTGAAAACATATATAAATAGTATCGTGTCACTATATTGTACCATTAAAAAGAAACAAAAGAAATGGTACATTTTTAAGTATGAAACTCCTGCGCCGTTTTCAATAGCTTATACTCTTAGCGTCGTTGGACTTCACACAAAAGTTAAAAGTTACCCGCAAATGATATACCCATTGCATGGAGTAAGACATTTTCTATAGCGAAACATATGAGTAAAAAAATAAAGTATGTGGGTTTAGTGTTTCTATGCAAAATAGCACGCTCCGTCACAGCGGACAAATTTTTCGATACCAGCCTGTGATGTTACATGGTAAGAAGTTATAGAACTGATTAACTTTTTTCGCAGCCATCTTGCTTTCTGGGTCATGAAGCCCACACTGCTATGTTTTAGGTACGATATTGTTCATCCTGTGCCTTGTTTTCATTGTACTGCAAGATAAGGTTTTTGGAAACCCTATAGACAGACCGTAATCTTGGACACAGACTGGAGTCTAACACAATTTAACACTTGAGGTCATCCTTGAGCGACAAAGACATCCTCCAGCGGACATTTCCCAGAGACAGACCTTAGTCTAAACACTCACTGAGACTCACATGTTGTCATCTCAAATATACACAAGCAGTAGACAATGTTAATGTTCATCATGTGCAAAAAGAGGTTCCTTTTATTATATACTCATAAAATATATACTCATGCAATCTGTTCCCCACAGCTAGTTCGATCATTGGGGTTCGAAATGAGTTACCGAATATCGCGAAAGATGATAATATGAACAGCAAATTGAGTGAAGCAGTGCCCTCTTTGCACCATGCTACTCATCTCCTTTCTTGAAACGGCCTTTGTACCCTTGAAAAGAGTTGCGATGAGTATCCGAATGCCTTCCCTCCGAAACCAAAACAGTTAACTACACTACACTACACTACACTACACGACATAAAAACTCACATAATCCTTCGTGGAACCGGACGCAGCTTACTGTGTGCCTATGACCCTTAAATATCCTCGTGCAGTCTCCGAACTCAGGAACCCAGGATCGAGCTGTATGGTCCGAACTCCCCGAATACAATATTTTGTTCACCAGCTGAAAGAAAATTCATGTTATGCATGATACCTGGTTTAATATTTCAATTACAAAGGTCATAAATGATGAAAAATCTTATGGATTAAACTTTGTTACCGAAAGGTGACTTCAGATTGACAAATCTATGAGAGGAGTGAATTTTGAAAGTTGCTTCCCGATTAAAACTAATATCAAAGGTAGAACAGAATAAAAATGGTGCGAGATCTCCTGTGATATGTTGCTATTGAGTTATAGCATTCGTTCGACTTCACTTCTTAAAAGAGAGCTTCGCCTTCGTAGTTTATAACTAGACTGCGCGCATGGTATCTATTAAGGTACACCAGAAACGCTCGGATAGCTAAAAACAGCAACATTTTTCCAGGGGGAGCTGACCCATTGGATTGGCCAAATATAGCTTTACTGACACAGTATGTTTAATAATGAAAAGTAAAACAAATGTTCTCTAAAAAGAGGTTTTGACGCATTCTAACTCCATCATTTTGCCTTGCAAAGCATTGACGGTTTGAGAAGCAAGCAGATGACCGCAATGATTTAGTTTATAACAAGGCTTTCACAAATTTGACTAGATGGAATGGTGATATCGATTCCTTTGAATAAGGTTTGTAATGTGAACAATACTTGTACTTATGACTATTTCAACATACTCTATCGCATTATGACTATTATCATCAGTATGAGACAATCGATCCTGTTTCAACCACGGGTCTCGACTTTGATCTACTGTTAGGGAACATTCAAACAAAACATTAATTCACAGTCTCCTAATCACTCTACCACTGTCGCTTACAATCAGATACTCTGTTCCCGTGACCATCTCGCTTTGCTTTTTCAAACTTCACACCTATTTAAAGGCGAGTTTCTCTACCCCGTTTTAATAAGAGATATGATTTTATCTCAGATCTAACCTTTGCAATCAGAAGAAAGGGTATGTTTTCCCCAATCCTCTGAAAATTCTAGTATTTTACCTCAATTATCTGACCTTGTTAATTGAAACATAAAGTAGGTTGAACAATTTCAAATCAGGGTGCCTATACACATTGTAGTACGGGACCATGAAGCATCTTGATTGTCAAAGATGACCATTAACCACCAGGTCCAGTGTGGTCTTCTGATAAACCATCATACACCGACGAAATCCCAAAATAACAAAGCTCGCAAAAGGAAAGAGGGTTTGTTTATTCTATGAATGCTTAGGATGATTTCTTTCTTTGAATTGTGGTGTATACTAAGTAAAATTTTCAGGATACGCATATTGACCCAGTTCTCAATAAACCGGCATTGTTAAAATCCCATCTCGACACTAATCTAAATTTTCGGTGTCGTATTTTACGGTGAGAAAATACTCATGGCCAAAGGTACAACTGGAATCACTTGCGAAACCACGCATGGTCTTAAGTTCTTAACACAATGGTTGCAATGGGGTATTTTGTATGACATACTTTTGGAGGGAGGTATATCGGGGGTGAGACAGGCTATACAAGATATTGTTCCAAGATGAGGGGTATGATGATGGCTGTGGTAAACGATGGCAGTGCGATTGCTATGAGAGGTAAACATCTGTGTTCGTTTGTTTCATCTCCATGACAACATATTGCTAATGGAGTTTGAGATGAGAGAACATTTTAATAATTCATCCGCTTTATTTGATGGGATGATCAGCACAAATATGATGTTGATTAAATGTTCAATCCAAACTCCTTACCAGGATATTGAACTTGTTGGCAATGGTTTTCACATGTTCTCAATGCATTTGCAATTGTCCACGGTTTTGGACATATGGTATATGAGTAAAACACGTGAGGATTGTTTTTGGCAGCGGCACACCTGACCGCGTGTACAGGTGTAATGGAACCAAAGCCCAAGGAGTCTTACTTCAAGACCCTGGACTATCTACTCTTATAACTAATCAAGGATTGGCCAGGGACGATTTGGAATCAATGTGAAGCCATCTTTATTTGTTTGTTTCAATTTTTGATCATTGTGAAATTTGAGTGTTTAAAAACGAAAATATGTGATTTGTGAACTTCATTTCTAATCAATTAACTTTCTGTTAATCCCCATTCAAGTTTTATTGTCCCTGGGAATGCCATATTTAAGCTTACATTATTTGTCCCCGATTGTTTTGACCCTTTATCATTGACCTTTGACAACACATGGATTCCATGGTTCATATCGAAACATTTGGTCTTGAATGGCATCTGCAATGAAGGACTTAATAGTACCCAAATTAAAGCTTCCATGTTATCAAATATGCGTTTCAATACAATGAGATAGACCTGACACGTTGTGACCTTGATCTACAAAGTACTACTTCTAAACTTTGACCTGCCAATGACCCCTTCAAGTGGGTCTCTCGCTCTTGAAGCATATGTGTATGTATCGGCTGGTGTAGAAAAGGTCAGATAGCCACATATTAGATATTGGAGTAAGATACTTACGGTTATACAAATGATAGCCCCTTGGTGCCCTGCGAATAGTTTGAGCTGTTCTCCTTTGGTAATGTCCCAGCTTCTGATAGTATTATCAGTCCCACCAGTAAATAATGTTCTCCCTACTGGGTCCGTAGTCATACAAGTTACAGCTCCAGTATGACCTTTAAAAGTTTTCAAACATTTGCCAGTTTCGAATGACCAAGACTTCGCAGTGAAATCCGGTGATCCTGATATAAGAATATCCTTGCAATCTTCATCGTTTTCTTCCCGTTCCTCGTCGTCAAATTCATAATCATCTTCACCGGGAATAAAGATCAGTGGGTAGACACCTCTTTTGTGACCGCTAAACACGCGAATGCACTCTCCCGTGTCAAAATCCCAGCATCTGGCTGTGCGGTCATAAGAACTACTGAAGACAAAGTCCCCGGTACAAATAATACGATTGATGAGCGAATTGTGACCACGAAATATACATATACAATCACAAGTACTCATGTCCCATTTACGTACAGTCTTATCCGCACTCCCGGTCAGGACATAGTTATCCTCAATGAGGATGCAATTAACGTAATCCTCATGCCCTTGGAGGATTCCGATGCATTCACAATGTTCTGATTTTGTGCTCCATAAACGAGCCGTTTTGTCCTCACTGCCCGAGGCAAGAACGGAACCATCCTCGCTCAAAGCCATACAATTGATTCCATTCTCGTGTTCAGCACACACCTCTAACTCAAACGTCTTACTTTTGGTCGTGTCGTTTTTCGACCCGCACATTCCCATCTTGAACATGTCTTATGACTTAATCATAGAATGTTTGAAAGCACGAACGTCAGGGTTGTTTATGAAATATTTATGTATTTAGTAGTTTGAACTAGACTTCATTTCTTTAGCCGTTGCTCAAAATCGATAGCAATATCTCCACATACGTATCTACAGCAACCTTATCCCAACATTTAACTTTCGCATATCTACGTCGAGATATTTGCAACTTATAAGATAGCAAGTTATTCCCGATGAATATCTTTACACATAGCGGCCGGCATATTTTCAAATCGCCAGTCAATAATTTTCAGTTATGCTCGGGCCGGTGGTGCTCACAAACGCCTATCCTCCCATAAAGCTTGTCCAGAGATTTCTACTTTATTAAACATTTACACAAATAGCCTCCTGTCTCAATCTCTACAGTTCTGTTCGCATTGTGATTATTTCAATTGACTATGCCATCCTAGTTTCAAATAGACTGTGTATTGTCATCTACCTTTACTCTATAATGGAGCAATATATAGATCCGGAAAGTAAGTAACATTCAGTAACTTATATAAGTTCGATATTGCTTTAATATTTAATAGAACATCCGCTGGGTCGATCGTGACATCACGTTTAATATTGTCGATGATATTATTAAGCGAAGCAAATAATTGTTGAATGCCGTAGCTGATGTTTTATTCCATTATTGAGTTACTTAAGACCGTGTTGTCATCTTCCGTTTTTAATATTCACATACTCATGCTATTACTGTCATGTCGATTGGGCGGATGACATCGATGTTGTTTGGGTGGCTTGTTTTCTGTCGCTGAAGACGTCATTCTTTGATTTTTGGATCCACTTTTGTTACATGTTATAGTAAAAATACCTGGAATAAAGTAGATATTGCTTTTTGCACTTCTAATTCAATATTCGCCACTCTCTTAGTTCCACCTTCGGGTTACGTTATTCTACACAACGCCATGGCACAACTTCTCTATTCAAAGACTCAATCGATTTACTGTATCCGCATCGCACAGTTGTCTTTTTGTCGCCATAGCGACCAGGTAATACTCACCTATAGTCGCTGCTTACAATCATATATAATCTATGGATCGCCTTTAGTAATTATTTGTTTTATGTCGATCGCGATTGAAATGAAATGCAGCTATCTCCTCCATAAGTTAAAGGGCGTATTTTCTCATTCATTAGAATAATTATTCAACACTGCAGTAAATCATATGACAACTATTTACCCTTTCCAATAGCTTGTCCCTTAGGGTAACAGTCAACTAATGGAGATTTAGAGATGGGCTATATTGATATTCACGTATGACAAATATTTAGAAATAACCAGATTCGTGTAAATAAATGGTCGTATTTATCATTTAAAATTCATTTAAACATCATCCTTTTTACTATTAGACTGAATATTTGAATTTGAAAAGAATTCTGAATTAAAAAGGCTGTAATTGTTCATACAATTTTTAGATGTTTAAGGCATATTTAAAACCCTGATATAGTTTTAGAAATAAACAGTTTTGATAAGATTTAAATGAGCCCAATGGCTGTCATAGCCTTTATGATGGTTTCATTATGAAATGAATAAGTGAAATGAAAGCGTAATATTCACTACATCCTATTTTAATATTGGTTTCCGACTGGTTAAGGCTTGATCAGACGATTATCTCGACTCAGAGTGTAGATGAAGTTCTCTTTTAAGTAAAATCAAACTACAGGGTGGGCCAAAAAAACGCCACTTTTTTTTCGAGACACTATTACTTTTTTTATTTTCCAACCTACATACCCCAAATTTTGCAGTTATATAGTGCCAAGGGTTCTTAGTAATAATATAATGTAACAAGTCCTTCAACTGGGATTATATTTGATCTAAAAAGAGGAATTCAATTGGTCCGCCACCCCATTTGATGATAGATTTTAGTTTTACTCGCCTTGCTGATATAGCAGTATCAATGACATGTTAGCTATATTTTTTTCAACGTGTCTTAATTGCCAGCTTTAATTTTTTAGATCGGATGCCTCCATACCATCTCCTGGAGACCTCCACATACCCTATACTCACTTGGGTTTGAATTAGGGCTATTAGATTGCGGTCATCAAGGCGTATCAGTTTAGGAACATTATGCAAATTATGCTTATTTCTCATGGCATACCACATGTTTAAGTGAGACGCTGGTGACATATTTTATTCAAGTAAAAGTGTATAATTCATGATCAATGGCTAGATAACAACCTCAAGTTTCATTTGGTATGTAAATTATGATTTTGTCTCAAAAATTAAAAAAAGTTATAGCATTTTGAAAAAAAAGTGGCGTTTTTTTGGCCCGCCCTGTATATCGGAAGTGTATAGAGGCTCTCATAACAATGCTAAACTATTCATAAGTGGAAGAATATGCACTTGCACAAATTAAACAATTAACTGATATACAATAAATCAAACACTATCTAAGTGTATCTTGGTGATAATTTTATTCAGGTTTAATACACAAAGAATATGATACATCATATGTACAAGATAACAAAATAAAACAGGCACTGGACGGTTTCATACATAATAATGCTATTGGAATTGTGTAATCAACTATACTTAGCCCAATCCCTGACAGCAGTAATCAATGGTTGAATTGTAGAAACAGTTTCAATGACCTGCAACTTGTATAATTACACAAAAACATAAGTCATCAATAAGTCTCATTATAATTAAACAAATACATCAAATAGACTAATACAATGTAAAACAAGTTCGATAAGGGGAGGCATCAAAAGATCAATGTCTGATAGAAAACTAAATAAATCTAGTTTGGGGGGGAGGGGGTCAAAGCTATTTCAGTTTGCTATCCGACAAATTTCAACATTTAAATTTTTCGCAATTTCGACTCGAAATGCCTTGGAATGGTTTAAAAATAAAGACTTTACCAGATGCCTTCTTCACCAAGATGCATGCAACATGGAATATTATGCCTATTTTTGTTGGCACATGTTTTAAGAATCATAAATAAGTTATAGTACTGGCCCCATGAAAGTCCAAATTGAGTCGCTAAAACATGTGAAAAGTCCGCGATCAACTTTCATTGTATTTAGTTTTGAGGGGGAGGGGGGGGGTCCAACTCAAAACTAGATTTATTTAGTTTCCTATCAGACATTGAACTTTTGATGCCTCCCCTAAATGCAGGCAATCTTACAATTTTCTGTTATGGTATAATTCACAATTTCAAAGTTTTGGTCCTGGTGAATTTATTCATTAGCAACATGTAGAAACACTACATTCAGCTAATATTCAAGTGGAAATTACATATAATCAAAATGTGTTTTAAAGAAATGTCAATGAGACTTAAAAATAAATTATTGTGTGTACAGGTTTTATTTATATTGGTTTTTCATTCCAAAGATTTCTCATGAGAAAATCATTTATTTACATATTTTGGACGGATTATTGTGCAAATCTGGACGGATTTTGTGTAAAAATAAAATGTAAACCAATCTACTTTGTATATACATGAATATAGTTCCGACATGTTGTCAGAAATCATTTTAATTCTATGTACACTATTTTTTACACACATTTCTTCAAAAATGCAAATTTATGTAAAAAGTTGCATATAAGCGAGTTCAGGAATTTTTAGATTTCCTGAATTGTGGTACAGAATTATTTTTACTTTAATCAGATTGTGTCATGCAATATAATAAATTATTTATAGCCAACCCTTACCCAGAATTTCACCTCAGTCATATTGTAATTCTTAAAAAATATGACCAAAAGAAAGTTAAATGATTCATACTAGTATTAGGTTAGATTAAGGGAATGTTTTTTCAGATTAAGACATTATTGATGATCAGACAATCAAAATTATGTCTATCATGATGAAAAAATGGGAAGGTAGCAAGCTATCTGCCTGATATCACAGTATCCAAACTCATTAATCTCTCTACTACTTGTATAACAGTATGTACATATATGCAAAAACGTCAAGATATATAGTCAGTCACATTTGTTGCCAATAAGATCATTCCCATGTTTTTTCCTGGGGCCTTGCATTCGACTGCATCTCTATGGAATATTCTTTAAATGTTTATACAGTCTAATGCAAAGTCATAAAAACATGGCTCATGGCCAGTTAGGCACTTGTTCAATGGATTTTTCAAGGCTTTGGATTAGACTGTATCATTGTGGACGGAATTAAAATATCACAATTACTTATAATTTCTAAATTTGAAAATCATTTAAAACTGCAAAGTCCAAGCTTTGTGTTAAAAGAAATACGCATGTGTGTTAAAACAACTTCTTTCATCATTTATTCAGGAGACTGAAGACTGACTTCTGAATGTTTACAAAGAGTTTGATTTATTTTATTAATTGTTCAGCTGACACAGCAAGGCAACACCACGTCTGACCCAATGTGCCTCTGGTTTGTCTGAGGGAATGACCATGCCAATGACAAAGTTAGTTGAATGTCCAGTGGTTGACAGAGTACCACGTCTCTCACTGGTCTTATATACAGGAACCTTATAGCTGGGTCGCACTGGGATGTCATCACGTTTCATTGGCTTTAACCACATCTGCAAAGAAAATTAAGAGTTTGTTGTTGCAGTTGTTATATCAATCTCTGTTTGAGAGAAAATGTGGGGGGGGCAATACACATTGAGTAAAATATGAATAGCAGGTGAGTAGTTGAAAATAAGATGTCTATTAACAAGCATGCCTACATGCTGAAACAACAATGCGAAATGTAACACTCATATTTAAACACTGTTAAGTATAGAATAATCCATACAACAAACAGCTCTAAATGCACCAAACAATGGAAATACTTTACTCTATCAATATATATGATTTGTATATCAAATATTGTGTGTAATACTATAAGTTCTAATTAATTTAATGTAATAAGATCTGACGTAAATGCGAGACTTTGTGAGATATTATTTGCCATACTATTGGTTATTGAAAATAAAAGTGCTACGTCATGACATGATCATTATCATAATCATTAAATGAAAATAAAAATTCAGCAGATTCATTGGAAATGATGAACTATAATCAGAACTTGTTGACCTTTAGTCCTTTCTAATAAGAATAGCATTCAAGCAACCTACTGTATGTTTATTGTATTGTATTGTATTGTAAAATATTTGTGAGATGAATGAACCAAAGTGATGTCTTACTGTAGGCATTTGATCATAGAGTATCTTAGGTGCAGACTCTGCCAGTATCTTGTGCTTCCTATCCCACCTGGCCCCATCAACAAACAGGCCCTTGACATATACACCTGTAAACATACAAATATCAATGTAAAAATTTGCACACAATTAAAACACTTCCCATGCAAAAATGTAGCTTTTTGAAATAAACCTTGTCATTTTGAAATAAATAACATTTATTTTCATTAATAGATATTTCAGCTTGCATCTGTTTGTTTAGATTTTTGCTTGCGACAGTTTCAATGATGGTGACAATTGTGCTCATTGTGACAATTGTGAAAGTTGTGATTATTATGACAGTTATGCTCATTGTGACAGTTGTGAGCATTGTGACACTTGTGCTCATTGTGACACTTGTGATCATTGTAACAATTGAAATCATTATGACAATTGTGATCATTATGACAATTCTGCTCACTGTGACAGTTATGATCATTATGACAATTGTGAACATTGTGACAGTTGTGATCAATATGCCAGCTGTGATCATCATGACAATTGTGATCATAGTGACAGTTGTGATCATTGTGACAATTGTGCTCACCGTGACAGTTGTGATCATTGTGACAATTGTGATCATTATGACAATTGTGATCATTGTGACAATTGTGATCATTATGACAATTGTGATCATTGTGGCACTTGTAATCATTGTGACAAGTGTGATCATTATGACAATTGTGATCATTGTGGCACTTGTAATCATTGTGATAGTTGTGGTCATTATGACAATTGTGATCATTGTGACAGTTGTGACAATTCAGATCATTGTGACAATTGTGATCATTTTGACAGTTGTGATCATTATGAAAATTGTGCTGACTGTGAAAGTTGTGATGATAATGGCAGAACCCTTTTTGTTTTCTAGAAATATATAAGTATCTTTTAAATGTCTACATACTTCAAACAATGCAATGAAAAACATCTCTGGATCAATATATTACTTATAAAATACATTCTCAGATCAAGTACAAGTATATAGTATATTTCAGTTACCAGGTAACTAGAGATGTTATACAATTCCTACTAATATACAGTAAAACCTGTCCAGGACTGGCCAAAAGTGCTCATATTAACAGGCATTAACATCTCTAGTTTTTCAAAATGAGAGGCAGTGAGAATATAAAAAGTGGGACCAAATGAGTATTTGAATTACAGAATTAATGCTTTTAGATATGTGAGGTGGTCTGAATAGAAATGCATTTAGGTTTCACTGGACACTATATTGTGAGGATGAATAGCTGGCAGAAACGTCAGCTAATTTCAGCTATTATGAAAAATATGTCAAGAGTCTTATGCTTTATTTCTTTACACTCTTGGAGTCATAACTGTATATATAATGTTTTATTTGGTGATAATAAAAGATATAATCAAGATCAATGTCTATTGCATACAGGTTGCTATTAGATTAATTTGAATAATATTTAAACTATTTTGAGATTCTCATTTTATTCAGATTTAACAGTAATTATCTTGCACTACAATCAATTGCATTTTCATCATTTTGACATTTGATACAATAAAAACATTGCAATCATGGGTTGGTAATAATACTTTCAGGTCAACTGGTGAAAATTGAAATATGGGCCAGTGTTATGTTATTTTCCTAAACATGCTGACATAATCAGGTGATCTTTAGTAAAAGCACACAAACAGATTGCCAATCCATTCATGTATTAACATATGATATACTACCCAGGAATGGACATGATCCAGTTTAATGCAAATTATTGTGTACTTAACCTGTTTAACATGTATCCACTGATATATAATATGACATGTTTTCACCAAGACAATCAATATTTATTTTTGAAATACAAGTGTCCTATTTTTTGGACCACCCTGTAGATTCAGAACTTCAAGCAACATTTTAAGCAATGGTAAAAATTGAAGTGAATCATTGGCAGTAAATGTTTATAAGAGCAAATGCTATTGATGCACTTTTTTATAAAACTACATTTTATAGTGTTCAGCAAGACAAATAGGACTATTTTGATTTAATTATTGGCTCTGACGTAAAACACTTTGATTGGAAATTGGTGCAATTTGGAAGGTAATGAGAAGGCCTGTCACACAATGTCCTTGTTCTCGTGAAAAGAAGCTAATGTCATGATCAGGTAGAAGCTGTTATTGTTCATTGAGTTTCTGAATACCTCAGTGCATTCTAATTAATAATACATTGTTTATGGCGTCAATGTTACAAGCATTCCTGTACTATTACAATGTGAACGTCACACTTGTCATTTTAATAAGCATGCTAATTCACTGTTGCATCTGTTTACTTTTGAAGGAAATTGGATATTTAAACCAAGACTTAAAACATGATGACCAGTCAAAATCTATTTTGTCATGGCAAAACTATGTCCAAAACATATCAGCACAATTCTTTATCTGAAGAGTATTAAATAGCTACAAATCCTCAGTTAAAATGTACCAATAAGTCACTCACCATCCTCTGGTTTTTCTTTGTATTCTTTATCATCCAAAACCTCATAGTCAAAGCCCAGGAGATCTATTGGAATAGTGTATTTCCTGGCATAGTTCTGCTGGGCACCTGTTAAGAATGCCTGTGTGAAGTAGAAGCCAGACACCCAGAACACTGGTGGGGCCCCACTCTCATACCAGTCCTGAAAAAAACAAATGAGTTTATTTTTATTATTTTTACAAACTATTTCAGTAATTTTACAATGAGTTCCATAGACTTGAAGCAAAAGATTCAACTATATTATACTGAATACTAAAACCCAAGGGCTGGAGTAAAATGCGACCCTCATAGTAGTACAAAAGAATATTCTCATTGTGTAGCTGCATTTTGAACAATCAAACCTGATTGGATGAATGTAGATGGACCTATCTTTATAAGACAAAGTGCCAAACCCTTCGCAAAGGGTATTGGAATACATATATTGCTTTTAGACCAATATCTAGATGAGTATCATGACAAAGAAGTTACAAAATGTTTCAGGAGTTACACATAAAGGCACTAAAATTATTTACTCATCTTCAAAGTATATAGGAGGAGATGAAGAAACATAAGCATATAAATGAACACTTACCTCAAGGAATTTGAGCCTGGCAAGGAAGTCATTGACATAACTCCCAAGTGGTTTCAGTGATGGGTAGGATTTCTTCATCCACATGCCAGGAATCCTCCCCTTTAACATACTCAATACCACCTCTTCCAGATCTGGGGACATCACAACCAAACCCTAGAATAAAGAACACATACGAAGTACGAACTAATGTAAGGAAATCTGTGCACCATAAAACAACCTGCGTTAAAACTATTTTCAATTTTGAATGTATTCATAAGCTGACTATTTATAACATCATATTCACATATGAAGGTAAACATAGGATGTGATTAGAAGACCACAAAACAGAGATCATACATGATAATCATATCCATTACCTTGATGGCTTTCCTGATGTTCTGCAGACTTGAGCTGACAGTTGCAAGTAGTTTATTGAAGCGTCCCATCTCCTGTACCAGAACAGTGTTCATGCTTTCATTGTAGGAGGTTGGGAACTTACGCAGTGCAGCTTCTGTATCAAATAGCTTCGGAAGCTTTGAGAGAATGTCTGCAGCTACTTCATCTACAACTTCATCAGTGGATTTTCCACCACCTGATGATGCTTTGGCCTGTTTAGAACACACAAGAGAAATGTTTAGATAATGAAAGTATTTACTTTGCAATTAACTATTTAACCAAACAGATTTAAATTCAAAAATGCTTCTAATCCAATCTCACTGACGTTTATCTCCTTAGCCAGATACACATTAACGTGGATACTTTAATGTTTTCCATTATATTAACTGAGCCACATACTGATAAAACAAATTGATTTAAAATCATTGTGTGATAAAAATAAGGTATAAAAGATATAGAAGCAATAAAAAAATAAAGTATTATGGTATTTGCATCATACAATAAGATCTGCAACATATACAAAACCAATCTTCTAAAACAAAGGAGATAAAAACACATATACATGTACATGCATACAATAAATAATAATGACATTTAAAGATACATACAACAACTAAATGAGAGTAAGTAAAGAAGCAGAGGCAGCAAAGATGAGCAGGAAGTGAAGTCAGACAGTGCAGTATATCACAAGCTGATTATAAGTCAGTAACTGTATATGAAATGTTGCAAACTGCAATTTTTATCTAGAATGATCACTTTCATGAAGATTAAATTTTCCAATGAAAGTATAGCGCATAACAAAACATAGTACTATTTTTTCATACAATATCATTCATACATATTTATACCTCAATAATATTACAATTCTAACAATAAAGAAAACATAAATTGTTTCAGATGTGACTATTATAGCTGAATTAATGAGCTGATTAAAAGACAAATGAACTTGTAAGTATAATGACATGAATGCAAGAGAGCAACATAAAGCTTATTCAAAGTTTATAAATAGACATTTACTTGAAAATCATTTGCATTATTGTAATCCTAATGTTTTTTCTAGCTTTTGCGGCTAATTGTGATTTACACAGACTGCTTAATGGGAAAAACTGCTTCATAAAATAGCTAGCTACGTTCTAAATCAGCCAAATGATTTCAATTTATAATAACATAACTATTCAAATGGACAATAAACCTGGTCATGTACTCATTTGTTTAGTAATTTATACATTGCTTAATGATATCGGCAACAATAGATGAGATGCATCATTCATGGAATCATCGCATGTACCTCGATGCCATTCAAAAGGTATATACAACTGGCAATTTCATCAACGTTTTAACAACACTAAAATTCCAATTACCAAATTAATATTGCAAGCTAATAGTTTTCAAATGATGGTTTCCACTTACCGTAACTCTTATGTTAGTTATGAATGTTGTAAGTTATTCTCTAAAACTGCATTAATTGATTAATTAAAAATATATTACATTAGAGAACGCTTGTAAATTAACTAACAATTTGATATTTTCTCAATATTTAGCTTCCAATGGATACATGATACATTTTTAAAATGAAATTGAAAAGTGTACAGTATCACTGGTCAGTATCAAGATGCGGTAACGGCCATTACCTTCTCATCTAAGATGGTGGACCGAAAGTGTCAATTTCGATATTTATGGTTTTCGTCGAATTAAACTTCTTTATAATTGACGAAATGCTTTGATATTTGAACTTGATAAGCCTTATATATCATGGAAACTTTGGAGTATGACAATTTGTTCTTAAACCATACGGGGGCGCCATGATTCAACTATATGTTACACCGCTTAAGGGAAGCACTAGAAATATAGAAATATGCAGTCAGTTGTTTTTATACTGTTGGTAACAGGACAAGCACTCAATGGACTTTTGAGAAAATCCATACCTACACCTCCACTATTAAATATGATAATATGATTGGCAAACAATTTCATTTCAAATGGTAGAACAAATTCTTTGATGTAAGTTGATGAACTGCAGCATTGAATTCTCTGGCATTTTGATTAGAATACAGTGACTGTATGATTAACTTAAGTGATATAGTTGTGGGGATATGGTTCACCATGATATTACTTATTAAGAGTATATCTTTACTTTATTCTACCACATGATGAGATGGTCCACCTAGATGTTTACTTGAACATCTGATCAATAAGAATCAAAGTAGAATCACCAAGAAATAAACAGTTTGTTCATTAAGACTATCAAGCAGAGTCAATGTAAAACATTCAAGACATGCAAATTTGGGGTAAAGGGGTAAAGGAGTCTGTAGGACCAAGACACCTAGAATCAAGGAACTAACTACAAAGCAAGCAATTAATGGGCTAACTCTTGGTCTTCTTACCCTTTTCTGCATGCACAACATATGGTGTTTGGTTGCATAGCATAACCATGGGTGTCATAAGCGGGTGACGTTACGTAAATGTCAAATCAATTTGTAGGTGTCGATAAAACAATCATGAAATAAAACAAAAGAAACACAATATTATAGTAGTATATAGTGCATTTGGTTAAAAAATAATAAATGGTTAACAAACAAAAACAAATGAAATGTTACATAGTGCATTTGGTATTGTTAATTCTATCTAAGTCAAAATGATACACCATGTAAAATGTATCAATATATTTTCACATATAGGCATAAGTGTCAAAATATGGATGAATTTAATTTCAGTTTTCTGAATCATTTATAGTGTATTATGAAATATCAAGTCAGCAAGGTCAACATCATTTGCGTCAAATTATCTTGTGAGAAAATAAAATTCTGAACCATATACTTATTACTGATGCCAGTATGTTGAATTAATATGCTGAAATTGAAATAGAATTAGATTTAAATATCCATGTTTATCTGAAATAAAATGCTTAAATTTGATTACCTCCTATGCAAGTTATGAATGTCAACAAGAGTACATCTTAAATAATATATCACTTCCCTACCCAAGTCTCTATTGTGAATGTCAACAAGAGTACATCTTAAATAATATATCACTTCCCTACCCAAGTCTCTATTGTGAATGTCAACAAGAGTACATCTTAAATAATATATCACTTCCTACGCAAGTCTCTATTGTGAATGCCAACAAGAGTACATCTTAAATAATATATCACTTCCTATGGAAGTCTCTATTGTGAATGTCAACAAGAGTACATCTTAAATAATATATCACTTCCTATGTTAGTCTCTATTGTGAATGCCAACAAGAGTACATCTTAAATAATATATCACTTCCTATGGAAGTCTCTATTGTGAATGTCAACAAGAGTACATCTTAAATAATATATCACTTCCTACGCAAGTCTCTATTGTGAATGTCAACAAGAGTACATCTTAAATAATATATCACTTCCTATGGAAGTCTCTATTGTGAATGTCAACAAGAGTACATCTTAAATAATATATCACTTCCCTACGCAAGTCTGTATTGTGAATGTCAACAAGAGTACATCTTAAATAATATATCACTTCCCTACGCAAGTCTCTATTGTGAATGCCAACAAGAGTACATCTTAAATAATATATCACTTCCTACGCAAGTCTCTATTGTGAATGCCAACAAGAGTACATCTTAAATAATATATCACTTCCTATGGAAGTCTCTATTGTGAATGTCAACAAGAGTACATCTTAAATAATATATCACTTCCCTACGCAAGTCTCTATTGTGAATGTCATCAAAAGTACATCTTAAATAATATATCACTTCCCTACGCAAGTCTCTATTGTGAATGCCAACAAGAGTACATCTTAAATAATATATCACTTCCTATGGAAGTCTCTATTGTGAATGTCAACAAGAGTACATCTTAAATAATATATTACTTCCCTACGCAAGTCTCTATTGTGAATGTCAACAAGAGTACATCTTAAATAATATATCACTTCTTATGGAAGTCTCTATTGTGAATGTCAACAAGAGTACATCTTAAATAATATACCACTTCCTATGCAAGTCTCTATTGTGAATGTCAACAAGAGTACATCCTAAATAATATACCACTTCCTATGCAAGTCTCTATTGTGAATGCCAACAAGAGTACATCTTAAATAATATATCACTTCCTACGCAAGTCTCTATTGTGAATGTCAACAAGAGTACATCCTAAATAATATAAAGTATGAAAATACAGTATATCTGCTATGGTAAATTCTAAGATAATCTAACCTGGTTATAATAATAATCACTCTAACCTCGATAACTGATAACCATTATGAAAACATGTCCATAAAATAGGAACATAAAATAGGAGCATAATGATTATATTAAGAAAGGATTAATCTTTTATAGCAGCTGAATCAATTCTTAAATAGATGAAAATCTTAAGAGGAACTTATTTATGTTTGAGACATGTAATACCTCATAACCAAGGCCAGATTTACTATAGATCTCTTTATGTTTATCATTGGAATTACAGGTAGATGTTCAACTATCACGTTTCCCAAAACCAAGCACATACACTAGCATGAAATCAATGAGGACTATCTGGTCAGACATTCTATTCTTTTCAAAAACAAGTACATGTACAAATCATTATGAATCTAGAAATCAGCAACTCTATGGGGTAGCAAATCCCATTAAACAAAAAAAATATTTTATTAAATACCTTGTCATTGTGGATATTACATAATAAATAACATTTGCACAAAATCCTTACCCTGCATGCAGAGTCTAATTATAGACGAAGCTCTCTTTTATGAGGCAAAGTTGAAGAAATGCAAAGGATACAAAATCCTATACTAGTAACTGGTATTATTTTCTTTATGAAAAATGATGAAAAATATTTGGCAATCTGAATAGAGCGAATGTATCAGCCATTTTGAATTTAGCAGCCATCTTGAAAATTCCTTCTTGAGCAGAGTCTTATGTACCTAAATATTTGAACCAAGTCTGTCAACTGGTATTTGAGTTATCAAACATGACATTTATTATGTAAAATGGTGGCCATTTGAAATGAGTGGCCATATTTAAAATGCCTTCTTGATTACATTTTTTCCTGGAGGCCATTTTGAATTAAGCAAAGTAAACTGAATTGAATTGAGCAGCCATATTGAAAATTCCTTCTTGAGCACAGTACAGATTTTTAGCATAAGCCTATAAAATTTGAACCAAATCCCTCAACTGGTATTTGCCCAGATACACAAATTGATGGATGGACAAACACCATCTCTATATCCACCTATGAACTTCATTCAATGGGTTTATAAAGGAAGAAAATATCATAGCATCCACATTTTTATCTGTTTCCAAAGTCAAGAAGGCAAAAACAAAAAGAAAGCTTAAAGTGTGTGCCAAAGTTTAAAACTGTGCAGGAGCAGCGCTTCCGCTAACCTATATAAAGAGATTACAAGGTACAGGCTTCAGAGGTAAGCCAGGAAGGTGAACAATCTTCGTCCCGTGTTGATTTCCCATATAATCATAACCAGGCAAGTTTCACCATTAAAATTGAAAATTGTATATGTAGTTCGATTTATCGGGGACATCAGTTTGTTGCAGCAAAAATGAAGATGAGATGGTTTGTAACAAAGGCCTTGTGACTGAGAACAGAATGTGGTTCTCCTAATTATTTAGTAGCACTGATATTAGTAAACAAAACTGGAAATTTTACCCAAGGGAGTTTTTATGCATCAATAAAACAATTGCATTATCATGACCAGGCATATTCATAACTGCTATTGCAACATCAATAAGATTGTATTGGATTGAGATTTACTATCTGTCGATCGCAGGGTTTAATTGGAATGGTTCGTTAAATTTGTAATCAAACATGGGCTGTGTCGTGAGGTTACATTGGTTCCATGATCAATTGATTGACTTAATGTGAATAGAGAATAATGTCTATCATTGATTTCCCTTCAGTAATAGAATATAACCTAGTTACAACAAACAAAACATATTTCTCTCTGGATCTACTTCAGTCTCTTTTTGGATCATTTTGAGTTTTTTCTTATTTCATTACAAATTGAAAACAAGGCCCATGACGTGAATGAAATCACACCAACAATGAGTGGTTTTCCTGGGATTGTAATGACAAGATTTATTGAAAAACTTCCAAAATGGCAACCAGAAAATAAGATGGCCACCCAAAAGTTAATCAACTCTAGAACTTGGTATCCTCTATCATGTGAACGAATTTGAAGTAAATCTAATGAGCAGATTTCCTTTAATGGTGATGACAAAAAATGAGATGCCTAATGCTAACGGTTGTGATAATGATCACAATGATCATAAATACAGTGCCAATATGACAATATAGTCCATCCGTGTAGCTCAGCGGTAGTATGTGCACCAATTATGCCATAGGTCCTGGGTTCAATCCCTGGCTCAGGCAAGACTTAATTTGTTTGTTTGCGTGAAGTACTTCAGAGTGTTTAACAAATGGCTGTTGTGTGTACTCGTATGTCTATGTCTGAGTGAACATAAAAGAACACAGTGCTCCTTCAAGGAGAGGTTTCTGGGTCTGTTTTCCAGGATTTATTACGTCAATTTTCATACATAAAAGGGATGTTCTCAAGAATTATTGCTCACCTTCATTTATGGTAAACAAAATACATTACAACTATAAAACACAGGTGATGTGTTAAAAAAGTAATGTGATAACTAAATAGATTTTACAATTTATATTCATTACAATTGTATGTCCTAGCAAAAAGTCATGAACATTACCAATCATTTTAGAGATATACTGTATATAGCCTTATACCATTGACACACAGCAGAAAAATGGTCATCGATACAGTTTTTAGTGACAACACAATGATCTGAGAAGGCTAGAAAATACATGTAAACAGTATGTAAATCAGTATTAGGACAAAATAGCAGCTTTAAATACTGCCACAGACCTGAATCAAATTGATCTCTCCTCATTAATTCAAAGCATTCCTTCATAGCATTGCAAGTAGTGAACAAACAATAGGTATATTGCATACCATTAAACACTCTTGGGAAATCATTAAATGCCCATAAGCTTAGTTATTTTTATATATACACATGACTATGCTTGTTCAAAATTGTGATAGTGTTTTTGAAGAACTTAAACCCAGCTAGGTAATAATTGTTGAGATGCTCCACTAATGATTATTAATTCTAAACAGGTATTAAACTAGAGTGCATGTTTGCTACACATTATTGGACGTGATATGCAGTCAATAATACCATCTTGGATTTCATAGCTATGAAATTTTCATATGATTAAAGATCAAACTGGTAAGAATGGAATTGTTTTTAGGCCATAACAACTATATTGATTGATGAATTTTGAACAATGGGTGGCATATTTTATTTCAAAATCAGGCCAACTGGACCAAGTGTTCTGGTTTCATCTAGCTGGTTAAACTCTGATAAATATGAATAATTTGTGGAAACAAGCTTGATTTTATTAATGAATATGTAGTTGGGAGTTCAACTGAATATTAGTAAGACTGTTAAAGCTCATGAACTGTGGAAATAGCTCTCTATGCTTTAAATTTGTGTTATGGCAACCTCAGTGTGAAACAATTAAGCCCATTAATTAAATTCTGCATGGCCATTGTTTTTAATATGAATTAGAATGATAAAGTTGTTTGTTTTAACTGGGAATTGAACACACATCCATGAAGTACTGACTCTAATTTGTATAGGATAATGCCAAAAAATCAGGTACTTCTTTCAAACATGTGAAAGGTGTGAAATAAGTGTAGTAAGGGCAACATGTCATGCACTGGCAACCATTGTATCTTGCACAGAACATTGACACAATCTTTTTTCCAACTGTTTACATTGAACAATATTTAACATGCAATTTATTATAGTTTCCAGAAATATTTCATTGTTAAACCTTGAATAGATGTACAAGACAATGGCATGATTTCTAAAACCTAATAAATAGACTACAAAGCTGACCATTTACAATCATGCCAGAAAATTGGTATTTGCAGATGACAATACTTTGATTGCTTGCCTTTGATGCATAAAAGATTCAAAGTTGAATCTTGTACCTAATAGCACTGTAAAAGGAAGCAAAAATTGGAAATTAATAATGATCAAGATTGAGATTGTGTTTTATGTTTTGGATTAATTCATCCAAATCAATGAGAAGTTACCTTAGACTCTAGAGGGAGAAAGGCAGAATACATTAATCATTTGCCAAATTAATACTAGTCATTATCATTATAACACCACCAATGTCAAGTTCAGACATTTCTGCTTTGATGACATTGTAGTTAACAGCTATTCAGAGGTAATATGCTGAGAAGAAAAATCAATCTCTCATAGTTCAATAGCCAAGTCTATATCTTCTTAACATATATCCAATGACATTATCAGATGATTTCAAGGTGACACGTTATCTATATAAGATATATTTCTTTAATATTAAAAAGATGTTCGCCCTTGTACCCCCTCCCCCCTTCCATCTCCACTCCCTGCGAAAGAATGTTAACATGATAGAAGGTCAAAGAATTATCTTCAGTTCTCATTTGATTATTGGATTCTCCACAAATAATCAAAAAGCATTCAATCGAAATAGAATCTAGAATTACAAAGATTGATAAATTGACTTATTGTGAATGTAGAATCCCCTTGATATGTCAAGTCAGAGGGACCTAGTGAAGGAACAAAGCAATTGCATTTAATGAGGAAATGCAACATGTGACAAGATCATTAGACCATTGGACCTTAAAGAATCAAACATTCTGGGCATTGATAAAGGGACACACTGAGATTCTATGATTTATGGTGCAACGACTAAAGAAAAAAACAGGTATTTGGCAATAGGCAGAATAAAATATGAGATCATATATCATGTCATGAATCCTAAAATCAAGGGGTTTCTTATGATTCTAATATGATGAACAAACCCCAAAAACAGCCACTTTGTATAAAACCAATATAGATCAGTACATCAATTGTTTTGCTATTGCGTCACTACATATCACAATAGAAAGAACAAATTATATTTTATATTCGAATCGTTTGAGCTAGGAAAATATGTAGGTGGTAGTTCTTGTATTAGGAATCAATGTTGGTTATAAAAAATATATTTTAATAAATTGTTCAAGGCATTTCCCCCAGAATTTGTTGAGGGGCAATGTTTTGTTTGTGAATGAATGATAAATAATGGTTAATTGATTGCATAAAGGATCCAAATCAATTACAACTCAAAAGCCTTTCAATAATCTCCACATTGATCAACAACTCAATATAACTATTATACAATGTATATTGAACACAACATCATGTTGAATATCCCAAAAATTACCCTAAAAGTAGAAACATTACAGATTTGTCTTCAATAAAACAAATGCCATTCATTCTCATGAAGAATATAAAATGATATCATCAAGGTTTCATTCTTTTATATGAGAAATGTAAAAAAACTAAATATGTAAACTACCATTGTGATCATGCTTACATTAAATTAGAATATCTCAAATCAATAAAGTTCCTTCACTTGCATTCCTCTCCTAATCCTGATCAAGTATATTCTTATCAAATCCCTACATGATCAAAATACCACTTTACATTCACAGTTGTCTAAAATTAGTCCCCCTGTCAATATCTAGTTCCCAACCGCTACATGGATTAGAAGGGAAATGGTGGGCTTCATTCAGTGCAACTGCATTCAAGTGTATGTTATTTTGTGAATGAAAACAAAGTTATGAAAATATTTCAACTGACCTGTGTAAGAAGGATGTTGTCAAAGAGCAGCTGGGTTTCTACTTGGTCCTTGGTGATGTCAGCATTAGCATTCATACCAAAGATCTCCGGAGATGAATTCAGTGGCAGAGATTTTGTGTATTCTATGTAACTCTCATGCTAGAAATGTGAGACATATCTAATTAAAATAACTGCTATAGTGATTGTTTCATGAATCTTGGCTTTATAGATATCTGCTTTGAAAGCTCTTTATTGGCTGTGATAATATCAATTGTAAATCAAATCAAATTCAATGAAGTCTTGAACTTTTTTTTACTAAATTTAATTTATGTCCTCAAGACATTAACATGACAAAAAATGTGACCACCTGCAAATGGTTATGTAACAAATTATTGGTTAATCAGTTTATCTAAAGAAAATTCTGTAATAATCAACATTTTTGAACATCTTTATCGTTGATAAATACATTCACTTACATCTCCATCTCCTGGGGAATAATAAAGGCCACTTTCATCGAAATCATGTTTCTCTTTCTCCACAGTCTCAGGAGTGTAGAATGTTAGTAGGATGGTTGTTAGTACACGCCTATCCCAATCATCTGTCACACGTCCTCCATAATTACACTCTCCAGTCAAGTAGCGGATAGCTTCATACTGAACATCCTGCAATAAGAATTTACTTCACTTAGTTTTTTTCATTTTATTTATAACATCTTAGAGATGAACTTTACTTTTGTGAAATGCATAACAAAGGAAAAGGAAAAAAAAAATATCAAAGACAGCAACTTCCAGAAGTAGCGAATCTCACCAAACAAAACATTTTTTATCATATCACTCATCATTTTGAATATAACATGACAGAAATTAGGCAGTAGTAAAATAAAGTAGTTAAATCTCCTTTTGGCAAAATCTGCACCCATGACATGATTTCACTATCAAAAAATATTTTTTTTACGAAAAATGACAGTCATTTTGAATTCAGCAGCCATCTTGAAAATTCCTTCTTGAGCAGAGTCCTACATCCCTAAGGCATCAGTATATTAAATCTATTTGACCCAAATCTGTTTACAGGTATGTGAGCTAAATTTTACACAAAAAATGGTGGCCATTTTGAATTTTGTGGCCATCTTGAAAATGTCCTTCTTGAGCAGTCATCATATAAAATTCTAACCAAATCATACAACTGTTATTTGAGTTATCACCACTTTGTGAAAGTGATGACCATTTTAATTTCAGCAAATGGTCTTGAAAATATTTTCTTAAAAAATGGCTGCCATCTTGAATGGTGTGGCCAAACTGAGAATGCCTTCTCGAACAGGGGTCCTCCGCCTATCCCATAAGGTATAAGCCTATAAAATTTAACCCAATCCATCAACCAGTATTTGAGTTATCAGTCAGACATGTGAAAAGATGGATAGAAGAACAGATGACCAGAAAGATGGATGCTTTGTATCCCTAGAGACTTAGTTGGGTGGTAAAAACAAATAAAAAGATATGTGTAGTGTAACAAATTATTTGCCCTTTGTACATTATTCAAAGTTGTCTATATTGGGGCTTTGGCTAAGACTGTCTAGAATATTTCAAGATTTTGTGTATTTTCTCACATCATATTGATTCAGGAACATGTGTAGCTGCTGGACACTGATCCTGAGATCTGTTTCATTGAACTCATATGGGTTGTTCCACCCAAGGGCACCAAACTTCTTCCTCTCCTGGACTACGGCATGGAAGAAGCACAAGCCATAGAGTAACTTCTTCCAAGCAAACTGAAATAAAATGTTAATCTTTTAATCAAAATTTTCTGATTTTGATCTTAATCTTCAATTTTTCATTTCAATATTTATTTAAAGTTCACCCTATGACTGTAAGGCACAAATGATAATATTGTACAATCTACATGTGCATTGAACTATTGGAGCAAATTGTGGCAGATCTATCAAGTCAGAACTTACTGGATTCTTGCAGGATCCAAAAAACTCTGGATCAGATATAGGATCACTGAGGTATGACCTAATGATGTTGAATCTCAGTCCTTTAGGGGGTTCATTGGTCATTTTCACTCCATTCTGCAGAACAGACACAGGGAAATTAGGAGATGGGTAACTGGTGAGCCAGAGACGGAAATCTGGATGAGTTGTCTCAGGGTTTAATTCCTCACAAATCTTTTCCAGAGTTGACATCCAGGATGAGGCTAAATGGCAGTTCTGAAGTAGAACCCACGTTCCTTCTTTCACCCCACGTTCTATCATAGCAAGAGCTATGGGCCCCTGACCTTGACCCAGAGAGAGGGACTCAAGCTTGGCTCCACCAAAGCCCTGCAATCAAGAAATCAAATAAATCAAAGGAAAGTTAGTTTAAACAGCCCAGTTTTATTCTTGACACAATTATATTTATGTTATCACTTGCAAGTGGTCACCAAAACTTTATTGCACAACTCAACAAAATCAGCAAGTTTATATTTATTCAATGATTTAATAATAATACGCATCCAGATTTGGGTAAAAAGATATTTATATTTACCATATCATCAGCAAACTTCAATAAAGCAGCCATAGGATCAGCTCCTGGTGAGAGTACAAACAGCAAAGGAGCTGTACATGAACTGTCATTGAATGACTTGGGCAGATCAAATGGTGGCGGCTCAATATACTTTTGGCCTAGGTTAGTGGCAACAAATTGTTGTACAGATGGAACTACTTTATCAGGACGTAAACACCTGAGAACTAACATTTTCTGGAACATTCCAAACTTTTCTTCATATTCTTGTGGCAAAGGCTCATTGTGTGGCTCCTGTAAAAAATGTATCCAGTTATATGTCAAATCAATGCAAAATTTGTTATACACATTGAAAAACTTGATATTTCAATAAGTATGTAAGCACCATTAGTGCTCACATTATTTAAAAGTTAAAAAAAGAATACTCAATAGTACAATCAGATACAATGAAAAAATAAACAGAAACATCTCAAACAAAGATTTGATGTACAAAGAAATAGTGTCAAATACCCCTTCCCCCGCCACCATTATCACAATCCAAAACCACAATACTATTATACCAAAGTCAGAACAACAGAAGAATCTCTGACCAATAAACTACTTACAGGGCTGTCATAAAGGACCTTCCATTGTTCCTTGTAGTTAATAAATTTCTTCCTCATTCCAGTAAATTTTGGTAGCTCATCAAGCCGACAGAACTCATCCCAAGATTGACTAGGTAGCCAGGTAGATGGGTTACTGTGAGGGTTATCTAACCCAACACCTCCAGTCAGCAAAAATCTCCATTCAGTTTCATTAACAAGGTCCTTATGCTTGAGAATGTTCACACATAGAATAAATGAGAAGAGAAGTTTGTCCTTCTCAAATAGAGATCTACATACATTGTTGTATAGGGAGTATGTGAAATGGTCCTTGAGATTTTCCAGTCTTGTCTCTAAGACATCTGAGCGTTCAGCATTATCAATAGACATGATGAACAAATTAATGAACCAATTGAGAGAATACTGGTACATAGGGTCTATATTTGCTAGATCGGCGATTGAGAAAAACAGAATAGTCGAGTGGGTTGCAATAGGTGTGTATCCCAAGCGGGTCTCATCAATTTTCTTTTCTGTCACTTCTGCAATTTGTTGTTTTTCTGAGATTTCATTGGATAAGACCTTAGATGATGACAACACTTTGATTGCAGTCTCATCCTCGAGGATGTTGCCTTCAGACGAAGACAACACTTCTAAGATTTTGTTCTCAATTTCCTTTAACTGCCTCTTATTATCAGCACTCTGCAGGATTAGTGCATTCTTTTCTTCCTCCAGCTCAGGTCTCTCTCTGGCCACTACAATACCCAATAGCTGATCCTCTAGACCCTCTGGCGTGATCATGAAGTTCAACAATGTCACCTGTAGAGGGAAGAGAAATGTTGGACATAAATATCATATTTCACGTAAATAACATTAAGTTAGATCATGAATATGTGATTAAATAAGGTTCTCACTCATTTGTAGTATTTGAAGTAGATCATAAGTTATGAATATGTAATAAGAAATGTATGAGAATCCATTGCACTATTTCACTTGACCATTTATGCACCCATTAACAATTGTGACCATTTTACTTTAGGGTTTCTTTACCCGCATACATTTGTATACATATGAGGGAGTCAATTTAAGCATTCAGTGATCTAAGCACTAAATCGCCTTTGGAAGATATATCAGACCAAAAAATCAATAACATCTTATCTGGGACCTTGACCTGCTTAAAATAAAAACTTTTACAATGAATCCTCATTGTCTTGATCCATTTTCCAAGGGAATATATATCTACACTTCCATATTTGTAAAAATTTGTAATTTTTGCTTTTTAAACACTTACCTTTACAGATGTCTCTGGAAGGTAATGAGGATTTCTCAGTTTGGTTGTCATGTAGAATCTGAAGTCATGAGAGTATTCTATTGTGCTGTCCCCCAGTCTGATGCATATAGCTCCCCCTTGTTTGAATGTTTGCTTCAATAATAGGGGCTCCAGCATTGGGTCAAGCTCCTCACCTATGTTCTCCAACAGCACCTGACATAATTGGATTCATGAAACTGAATGTATTTATGCTGCATGCCAAGAGACAGACATCAACTGATTTTATGTTATTATAAAATTAAGGAATAATGCCCTGAAAAGTGGGCTGATGTGTAACAGTTACTGTGTAAAATACCTACCAGTGAGGTGAGAGAGACCAGCAATCAATCAATTTATCTAACTATAGGGCCCACATATTTAATGAATAAAGGATGTATGTTTAAACATAGCTTTATTCTTCATGTGGAATAGATTATACAGAAATTGCATTAAAATAGAACAATAACCTTTGAAAGCAAAACAAACAAGTGGGTGGTTACAATAGCTACTCAAAAGGCCTAAAAACTTGATTTCACTTACAGGTGTTCCAAACTGTATACAGTTCTCCAGGGTCCTAACAAAGTCATTGTCTGTCAGTTTGATACAATGAAGGTTGTTGGCTTTCTCCATGTTCTTCACCCACTTGTTGGCTTGACCCTGGAACATAAAACACATGCAGTGTCAACAACATCAGGAAGCATGAGTAAGGTGCATCATTACGGGCTACAATGAGTAAGGTGCATCATTATGGGCTACAATGAGTAAGGTGAATCATTATGGGCTACAATGAGTAAGGTGCATCATTATGGGCTACAGTCAATGAGTAAGGTGCATCATTATGGGCTACAGTCAATGAGTAAGGTACATCATTATGGGCTACTGTCAATGAGTAAGGTGCATCATTATGGGCTACAGTCAATGAGTAAGGTGCATCATTATGGGATACAATGTGTGCCATAAGGATTTCAGTATTTGAACTAGTTACCACTATTTAGTTGTCATATTTCTGAAAAATCAATCCACATGGAAGATAAGTGGTTTCAGGCCTGTCAGATGGGCCATCATTAGGGAACACCTCTAGATGTTGATGCAAGTGATTAAATATGACTTAAGCAAAAACAAAGGATGGATAAACAGCATTCACAGATAAAAGCAGTGAAATACATTTCTATGATGCAAATGGAAATTTCGTAAGAAGCATTAACCCACTTTCCAGTAAGTCAAAGGTGGTCAAAGCCATACTGTGAATTCTAAACATGAAGTAGTTGTTTGTGGGTGGGGAACCCACATTTTATATAATCTACATAGCACTACTGCTTAAATGAACACTCAGACTAAACCTCAGTTTGAACAGTCTTTCAATATAAAAATTAACAGAGATGATGTTGTGATTGTGTCATAAAGCACACAGGATCATAGGAATACCAGAGTTGCTAAGGAAGTGTTTAGATATGACATGGAAAAAGGCTAGGTAAGTTGTATAAAACATGAGGTGTATGTATAGATAAGCCTGGCAATATTATAGTTGACCACCCATAAAACTTCTCTTAACAATGGATGACAGATCTTTACAATATCTTATGACACCAGATGGACTACAATTCCCATGGTCTGTGGTGATCAACAATGAAGGACATCTATTGGTGGATGATCTCAATGGGCATATCCACACAGTTAAGTACGCAGAAATAAATGTCTTCTAAGGGACACATACCTGTGGATCAATCATAAGTGGCCATCTTCTGGCTTTACTGATGATGATGCCATTATCCACTGAAAAACTGTCAGTGGGCAGACCAGCAATATTCCAGGCTCTGATCTGTACAGGGTCTCCCAACACACTGGTAAGAGAGAACTCATCAGAACAAGGAATTTCCTTGTCTTTCACCATTTTGTGCCACGAGATCAGTTGGTCCTGGAAAGAGTGAAAGTAGTACAACTTTTAAGTATGTATTCCATATCATGGATTTCAGATTCAACAAACCATTTTCCTTTTTTCAAGAGTAAATTGTTTTCAAGCTTACTGTTGTGAAAGGTAGGTAACATTTTTTCTTTAGAATTTTTGGGAGAGATTTTGAAGTGAAAAAGCACATGTTTTGAGTACCTACCTGTCTAAAGGCAGAAGTGAAAGCCCCAAGATAAGCCACTAGGCCACTAGATATGAGAACATTCCCTGTCAGGTCAGTGTAAAGCTTTCCAAGCTCAATTGCATTCTGGCTCCATCTGTCTTTCTCTCCACCTAATCCACCAATCAGCTGCTCTGCTCTCTCAAGTTTCTTAGAACAGAGTTCTACCTGATTCTCAAGATCAAGTTTCTTCTGCTTGTTTGCATCAAGCTTCTCTTGGAGTTTTGCTAGTTTGTCTTGGACTTCACGAAGCGAGGCTTGTTTTTTACGGAGGCCCTCCATGGCAACTGCTAGTTCATCTTCAGCTTTCTTAAGGGCTATTTTCTTCGGTGCAACAATCTTAGCCACTCTGCAAAAGGATTGCACATATTATTATATTAATGTAAATATATATTCTATGAATTGAGTTTTAATGTTCCATGCGGTGAAAGATTTGTACAGTAGCAGTTATATCAAGTATGTCACATAGTTTAAAGGGTAGTATTCACTCCTGGTCAGTTAACTTGAAATAGGTCACTTGATCAATTTCAGGTGAGATATTGTTTATAATAAGGGGACTTACTTGTCATAGGAGTCCATAGCTCTGACCCACTTACACAGACCCTCACAAGCAGTGGAAGCTTGACGGATCTTGTCAGGATCAAAATCAGGATTGGTGATGTATTTAGAGCGAATAACTTTCATGTAGGCAACTGGGATATTATCCTGAAAATCACACATTAAGTTGTTAGTCTTTGTTAATGATCCTTCTGAAGTCATCATGCATGGCTTTCAAATCATGTAATTCAATACACTAGATGCGAGTAGAAATGATCTTGATTTACGTCATTAAATATTCAAAATTCAGTCAAAGTGATGTCATATTTGAAATCTACATGTAAAAATACATCTAAAAATATGGTTTCGAAAATTATTTATCAACTTTGAAAATTTAATCTTTTTGAAAATATGACTTCTAGTTCGGGTTGATTCCCCATAGACTCCATATTAAAAAATCACAAAAAGTGAAATATCTTTTCTTGTATTGGACATATAACATTTTCTTTTACTGGTCATACTTTAATTTGCATTACTATTCGATACATAAGGGCTATATGAAAATTGAACCACTAAAACAGATGTAATTTAAATTAAAGGGAACTTTCTACTATACCCGCCATGCTATCTGACCCGAGCGAGCCACCTGGTGGTGAAACTGGTAACTACCTACTCGCATTTGCGTTATTGTTTCAATGATATAACCATTGTCCCCAATTGTGTTTAGACAAAATTAATTCATGTCATGTTTTGTAACTTTTTTTAGCTTACCTTATCATAATCACGAAGTCCCTCTAGAAACTTCATATCACCAAGCATACGTTTAGCAGGTCCCCAATAATCCTCAATCTTTTTCCCTGAGCCAGATGGGTCAGGAGTCTTCTCTGGCTTGACACCCTTTAGCACACAAACTGCCTCCATGACCAGCTTCACCATCCCTGGGGGGTTTTTCATGGATTTTACCAGAGTGATGTCCTGTTGGGTGAGGGTATTCAGGGCAGCTAAGGCTTGGTTCAAGATGGGGATAGCTTCAGCTAACTCAGAATCACACTCATCTTTGATGCTCTTGGCTGCTGAGGCCTGTTCATTGGCAACTGCTTCATCAGCTTTCACAACTTTCTCAACCTGCACAATAATTGGATAATCTAAATTCAATGCTGTGATTTGCACTTCTTATTGCTCAATAAAATAAGAAAGATATGAAACACTGTAACACCATAAACAATATTTGTAAAAGTTTTACATCAATATCTCCCTTGAATGTGAAGATTCTTCAAAATCATTCAACCTTTTATTTTCATCAAATTCCTTACCTTGGCCACTTCCACAGATTCTTTCTCAATGATGACCATTATTTCATCTACGTCTTTGCTAGCGACAACCAGCTGTGGTTGCAGTTCAGTGAGCTCCACCTGCATAGTTGATACCTGGGAGGCAGCCGACTGCAGTTTCTCTAGACCTACCTCATACCTCTGTTTGTTTGTCATAACTTCACTGAAATACAATATGTGCACTGCTGTAATCCTCTGGGATTTATAATGTCATTTCAAATATTGCATTTACAACCACTAGCAAGGCATAAACAATGGAACATGACACCAGCAGGGTGATTGCATACTTGAAAACTGCAAAAGTGTAGGTGGTGGTGGTGAATTAAGTCATGCTCGGTTGGAATAGGGAAATTAAAACAAGTGGGAATCTTTCCAGTTAGAAACAGGAGACAACAAAACTAAAATTTCTCAAACTTCTAACATAAAAGTTTCACTTACGTTCGTTTCTCATCAAGGAGTGCCTTAAAAGTACTGATTAACTCAAGATATGAAGTGGGAGTGACGTAGTTGTGACGATCAAGTTCATTGAGGAATCTATCGGAAAGGTCACTTGTCGTTTGATGGAACTCCTTAAAAAAGATTATAAATATATATGAAGAGTACCTAATTTAAATAAGAAATTATGCTTTGATGTATACAATTGTATTTTATTAATTTATCGGGTGTCCCCAAAAAATGAGACACTTTTTGACAGGTATTTTCTCGGCAACCGATAAACTAAATTCACTGAAAATTTGCACAAAGGAGCCCAAGAGTATCATAAGTAAGTTAAATAAATATAAATAAGATCAAATAAATATTCTGTTAGAACTAAGAAATTCAAAATAGCACGTCAAAAATGCCCATACCAGAGCTCTGCGATGAGACCTCTATAGTGTCTGTACAGCTATCAGGTGATAGCATCTGTTAATCAGTGAAAATCGCTTGTCTGTGTGTCATGTCTAATTAATTAGTTTTATTCTTCCCAAATATCCGAAATCCATTCATTCTCAAAATTCATTAGAGGTGATATTGTTAGAATAAATACGGAAAAGTATTTTTGCTTGGAAATGGATTAATAAGTGACTATTACTTTGATATTGGTTATTTTGACATACTGTCTTTAATTCAAAAATACACACATAATCTGAGACCAATCTCTTACATATTCATAGCAAAAGCAGCAGATACCCTAAAGTACATCAGGTTAAAAAAGGATTTGGCTCACCTGTTGCTGAGAAATTACTTGTCAAATTGCTTCCCATTTTTTGGTTACAAACGCTATAAAATTCTCATTGTGTTGCTCCGATATGGGATCTTTTGACATGCTATATTGAATCTCTAAGTACTCAGATAATATTTACTTGACCTTTTTCATATTTTAATACTTTGTTAACGATACTCTTTGGCTACTTTGTATGAATTTTCAGTGAATTTGGTTCATCAGTTGTCGAGAAAATACTTGTCAAAAAGTGTCTCATTTTTTTGGGACACCCGATATACATTTTAGTTTTATTAATAAATTTTGAAGATGTCATCCAAGATCTAAAATGCTACATAAAGATGCATCCACAAAGTGGCTCAGTGATTCTATGTTCAGATTTATCAATTGTACTACCTGACAAATTTCAATACATCCACTCCTGGTTTCTTGTGGCATTTCAATCTCATCTAAGAATCTAGTTGCTACAGCCTGTAAAGCATCAGCTGGCCACGCCTACAATACAGCATAGCAACATGATTTATTTAATGTATAGTGCCTTTAATTCAAATCTGTTTAAAGGTCTAAGTCAACCCCAAAGCTGTATTTTCAGACACATATACTGTATGTGAAGTAACACTCTAGATTCGATTTTTGAAATTTCAGGAGATCGGAGTCCAAATTATACAGAATATCAGATCATCATCGGCTTATACACAATATCAGCCTTTTATGTGGCTTATAAATGATATCAGTGACATATTGAGCAGATAAATGATTTTACGAAAAATAGTATATGAATCTCCAAAATATCAAAAATTTCACTGGCTGTTATGACACAATAATTGTGTGATAAATTGGAATATAATACATATGAGAGAATGATGATGTATTCAAATTATTGACAATAATTTCATTTATGGCAATGTGAGAGTCGGTTAAGGTTTAGGTATGAACAAGCCCTAAGAAGACCATTCCCCGGTTATCCCAGGTAAATGTTTCTGGTAAGTTACACTGAACGAAACATCAAGCTTCAGATCTCGAGAGTACGAGATGAGACTTTAGACGAGATATCGATAGGATTGTAGTTGGAGGGTTTTCTCCCTAGGTGCGTACAAAATCCATTAACATCAATGTAAGTTATACATTTCGATTCTTTTCCCTCACCTCCTTCCCCAGCTTACACCACCAGTTGGAGATTTATTTTCGCCCAAGAAGATGAGTTGGAGATGGTATTATAATATATCCAATTGAGCTAATTAACAGTTATGTCAAATTGTAAACTCTTGTAGCTAATTAACTTAAATTAGCCATTATTTTCCAAGGTATTGTGTTTTGTGTTAATTGGCTCATTATTTATTTATATTAATTTTATATTAATAATTTTACATGTACGACTCTCACGGCCATATCTATACTCTACATGAACATAAATGTATTTCCTATTGAACTAAATGTATTCAATTCAAGTTTTTCAAATCAATGTAAAAGTAAAAACATAACTAATATTTGTGAGTTCATAAAACATAACCCTACAATACAAAAAAAAGAATAAATATTGTCAGTAAACATCCAAAATATGCAAACATATTTGAATGATTAAAATGCAATTTTCTACATGTAGCAACATTTTTCATGAATCTAAGATTATTGTCAAATCATCTTAGTTCACTTCTCATTAATCGTCTCATTAATTACCTGGAACCAATCAATTGTACAACAGTTGACAAGTGATGGAAACTTCCTAAGTCTGTTGCGGAAAGCATCCCCAATAGGACTCATAGCCAGCACAATGTGGAGCTGGTCCCTTACTCTACTAATAAAGTAGTTGAACAGTGCAACTGGGGAGCCGTCTGTCTGCTTACTTTTGTCTCTTTGCCTGAAAATCATTTTGCCATATGGAGTTGCAATACATCTTTTAAATTGTGCAACATGTATGATTATCTTATCTTGTCTAATATGCAATCAAATATGGCTTTATGTACTGAATGATTTGTCAGCATTAACATGAAAGTGAATGTGTTGCATTCTGTCAAAATTGAAATATACTAAAACCTTATTTAAATGGAATGTTGCCACTGGGCTTCAGCACATACATAGAAAAAATAAATAATACATTATACTATTTTTCATTTTGATCTTATTACTTTTTACAAAAAATGTAATCTTTTTACTTTTAGTTTTTATGTATTTTTACCTATCAAGTTGCCTCATTTTCTCAATAATCTCTTGCTTCTCATCAAGTGGGAAGAGATTAGGGACTTCTCCAGCATTCAACAGATTGTTAATATCCTCTAAGAATGACTCTTGCTTGATCTGAAATCATAATTTGATTTAATATATCTCTTCATAGCTTTAGATATTGAGCAGAGTGTTTTTAAGATACCATTTCCTATGAATGATAAAATGTTTTATCCTACACTTAGTGTACTAAATGTATAATAACATAAAAAATAAATTTGATATTTATTGGCAAAATGAATAACCAGAAGATATTGTGATGATATACTCCGGGCGGAGGATATCGTGATGATATACTCCAGAAAACCCAATATGCGGAGGATATTGGACGATATACTCCGCTTGTTGATTTCCCGCTAAATTGACTCTATTTGGCATGAAATTCATTCTGCAATGATATCATACATTTAGTAGACTCCTTTTAAGTGGAGGATAATAAGAACAATGTTTTTTTTCAGAATATCATTTTAATCTACTCGGTGATATTGATATATGCACTCGTTCACTTTGCTCTCTCGTGCAGAAATCAATATCACCTGGTAGATAAAAATGATATTCCTCAAAATCATAGGATATCCTATAAATCTTCAAATTCAGCGAAATTCACAAGCATTAGATGAAATCTATAAATAAATACATAAAAAAATTATGAACTTGATAATGCTGGTTAATGTAGCTTCTACAATACGACTAATGCCAACAGAAACAAACATTGCATTGCTGCATATCATCATGATTACATATATTCCAACTAAAATGTCAGTGAAACTTTTATAATTAAGAGATGAGATTTACCTGCGTATCTGAGAAGAGGAAGACAGCATGGTTATCTGTTGCAGTGGCACGGCGTAAGATATTCTTGACGTCTTCATGCCACTCATAGGATGTGTAACTCTTGCTGATTTCAACCTGGAACACATCATAGTCTGCCATATGTGCAGCCAAGCGTGTCAGGGACTGTCTACCTGAGCCTCCTACACCCACCAGCAGGGCGTGACTCCTGGGCTGTTTCAGTATACGACTGATACGACTCACATGCTCAATGGCAAATCTGTAACATTTCAATCACATTTACAATTAAACCATTATCATGTCTGGACTTGGGGACATAATTCAAGGATTGAATTTAAAATAGTTTTACATGTCTAATTCATTTTTAGGATTTTATACTCCAAATTTCCTTCAAATGACAGTATCCTTATGCAGAATTGTATACCTTTGGGAATCTCTTTTATACATATTCAAAGATACAAATCTTTTATAAGCTTATATCAAAAAGTAAGCCTTTTGTTAACTTACCTAAAGAGTACAAGATTCATCTGCTTCTTGCTCATGTTATTAAACTCCTCCAGGTACCCCTCTACAACTGTACGCAGATTCTCAAGATCACGAACCTCAAGATAGAACTTGTTATCAGACTTGGGGTCTGAGAAATCACAATACACCAAACTCCTGAGGTCATCTTCTACCACTTTGCTGTCACCGTCAAAGTCTAGATGGATGAACAATTGATCAAAGTCCTCTCTCATGTGTTTCTTAGTGGTGTCACGTACGAACTGGGTCACCCATGCTCTGTCTGAGTTGTCTACCAGACGATCATAGTACACACGGAATGCCTGTAAAACAAAGAATGTTCAAGAGACGTAGTCTTACATACATATATCCAATATTTGCCAGTGAATAAATGAAGTTGCTCTCTATCTGATTCATGTTGAGGACTGAAAAATGAGAAACCTTAAAACAATTAACTGTGTTGACTCGTATTACCTCATGCACCCAGAGTCTCTTCATAGCAGCTGGCTCCTCCATCACTTCAGGTTCTGATAACAGCACACCTTGGATGACACGGCTGAAATCTCTCAAGTTGAACAGATAGTGACTCTTGGCTGGTGTGGGCAGAAGGTTCTGACTGGCAGCCTTATACACTTCTAGAGTTGCCTGGATGATCTGGTCACAACACGGCTTGAACTCCTGGCTAAAACCTCTGCAATAATCAACAAGGCTTTCAAATAATATTCAGCATTTTATAGAAACAAGAATATTAATAATAATAACTATCTATTGTGTATCAATTAGGTTAAATATGAAACAGATGCCAGTTGCAGCTTAATAGGTTCCTACTTAGTAAGAGTATGCCAATTTTTTAGATAGGATTACCATTAAATAAATAAAAAATAAAAAATAACCACTTAGATTGAGATATGCCATGTATGATTGGTATGCCATTTATAAATGGAAGGATATGATTGCCACTTATTCAAATAAAAATGCCATTTACTTAGATGAAATGTGCCATTCCATTATTGAACCAAAGATGGTAACCATAGTGTCATCATCAAATTCATTGATTGTCACTGTATTAAAATGACGCAGGAACCGGGGAGTAGTTGGATTTCTTCCACCTCCAGGTGGACCCATAGCTGCCATAAGTTGAACATCCACAAGTTTAATCATGGAGGAATCCTTGAGATCGTACCAGTTCCAATGGTCCATCCATTGACGTAGCAATTCTATGGGAGGCTGGGCTCCATATGTCTCAACCTGAGGCATGTTCATGTCATCCACAAAGACAACCTAGAAGCATACAGTTTCAGAAACATTTTTACAGTTGTTCTCATTTGCAACACTAATGTCCAACAGTTAATTTGTTGCAGAAGATATGAAGATATTACAGGCCTCTGATGTGTTTCAAAAAGAAAAAGTTGCTAAGTCATAAAACAAACAGAGCAATGATGAGAAGTCCTGACACTAAGATTGTTCCTTTGGTGTGAGTACCGTAATCCAACACGAAATTCGAAACACTTCGAAATACTTCTGAATACTACTTTGCACATATGGCATTCATGACCAACTATGAAACGCTTACCCCCCCCCATAGTGTTATATATCAAAATTTACCTGTTCATATAGGGGTTCGATTGATCTACATCAAATTATAGATAGTCAGGTTACTTTTTGAGATATCAGCGTCCATTTATTGTAACTCACGTTTGCTACCATTTGCTCAATTCTGAGATGACAGGCGCACGCATAGTAAACATGCTCACGCTGGAACTATTTTCACCTACATCGCTATTTTCATCATTAAAATGAAAGTTAAACTCCTCCTCTTTATTTTGATACCATAATGGCATACTAGGTACCCTAGAAGCCAACTATGGCGTTATTTAGAACAAAATCACAGGTTTTTAAATGGACTATATATGGCGGATGGATATGGAACCTCACACCCTATGGAGTAACATAAAAACTTGACACTATGTTTCTGCAAGAGTGACTGACTACTGTACTTACGCATTTCTTTCCCATCTGTGGTCCAAAGACTCCTTTACGACGTTTATCCAATTTGGACATAATAATGTTTTGCGTCTGGTTAGCACTTGTCTGGGCTGAGAAGTTGATGATGTTTGGCTTGTATACTTCCTTGTCTAGCTTGTTTAGTAGAAAGTCCTGGAAAACATTCAACAAATTCAAATAAAAGCATTCACATTGATTTCATTTCATCTCATTTACTGAAGTCCAAGTTTATATATGAAGTTCTACACTAATTTTTGCACTACAATTCATTCTTTTTCTGTGCTTGGTTGAACCACGAACCTGGAGAATTCACACTTCTCACACATGCACAGTTAGAAGGGGAAAACTACAGCGCCTCTAGCATGAGTTTCCAATCCATTTTTTTTATAAATCCTTTTATTTAGCCTAGAGAAAAATAGTATAACTTTTTATTCCATTTCTTCAGGTCTGTAGTTGAACACACTTTTCATTACATACATATATGGCCTCCAGGCCATGGGAATATTCCTTGTGAAAGATACATTGGTATCCCCCTCTAAAGAAGAATACATTTGTGTATGAACTTACTGTGATGTAGCAACTTTTGCCAGTTCCTGTCGGTCCTACGAAAAGTGCAGACTTATTATGAAGTACTAATGTGCTCATTAGGTATGTATATCGCACAGTGTCCATTGTTGGCACTATAATCTCATTAAACAATGCATCTTTGGGTATAGGTGGCAGATCTTCCAATTCTTCTGACCACCGTATCCACTTTCCATTCTCTTCCTTAGAGAATTTGTAATCGTAAATGAGACCCTCTTTTGGAAGGTTGACAGAGTAGTTTTTCATAGGGGCTTCAACTAAGCTGATCAAACTAAGAGAGGCCCTTGTTTCCTCCGTCATGCCACCTGCAAGGAGTTCTCGCACAAGGTCGTTGAATTTTTTACGTCCTAACTCATTCCCACTGGCACCCACTGACCATGTCAAACAGAATATGAAGATACCCTGTAATAAGACACATTTAAGAAATGAATGGGTAAAAGTGACATGTGCAGCTAGAATGGGACATGCTCAATATATCTGCTTTCTCAGGTATATCCAATTGCCCACTGCAAAGCAATAAATGTTAAACATCCTACTCCTCTTCTAACAATTCATTCTGTTCTGTGCATTTTAGCTATATTTAAAAAGTGTTTTGATTCTCCAATTTATATTTTGTCTAGCGATTAATATTAATACGTACCTCCAACCAGGCGCAGACCTGTCTCTCATCCAGAGCCCCAAATGCAGAATCATCTCTGAACTCATCAAAGTGACAATCTATAAGGTTCATCAGTGAGCGGACCAGGTTGATGTCTGACGTGGGGGAAAGTTCCTAGAATATAACCATATGCTGCATGTTAATGTCTCTTCTGGGCGGATTTTAAACCCCAGTCTTATTGCTTAATACCCTTAATGTATACCAGTTTAACCTACTTATGATCCAAAATCAGAATGTCTTCATGCTACTCTTATTTTGCTGATTTGATTGACTCTACATTTAAACAGATATTGCGCTCTTATGAATCATGATGCAAATATAAACTGAAAGATGCTTAGAGATGAAAATCATGTTAAAATGAATTACAACCAAAATGCTGAAATACATAGTCTATTACTTGATTCTTAAAATATGACCTATAAAGTGAACTTAGAATCTCTATATGTAATGGCAGAGTCAATGATAATGAGTATGTGATTATAAAGATGATTAGATGAGAATATATATAAGAAGGATGAAGAAATATTAATTCAAATGTATTCGAAGATTTATCTAAAAGTCTACAACATGAGTAATATGTACAGATAAATATGAAACATAGTCTATCATAGAAAATTACAGTTGTAGTTGACTATATTCAGAATGGAGCTTTGAAAATACAAATATCTGAATGTTATTAAAGACTATCAGCCTCACTCATTTCAACTATATCATAAGTCATGCAAAAAGGAATAATGGAGGATGAAGAAAAGAATAATCCTAAGAATAACTTATATTTTTCTTTTCACTGACATTTATTTTACTGAGAAATGCAATATATTTTCTACTTGTGAAATGTTTGGTGAAAAAGAAAAATATTTGTCATTTTAAAACAATAAATACTTCTTGTAATGTAAGATATTTAATGAGTACGTATGTACAAGTTTTTATTGAAGAGCATTACATTTTTAATGCAGTTATTGCAGCCTAGCCATTATAAGAGCATACATACAGTAGATAGAGATAGTAATGTATAGGTTAAACCAATCCATCCACCAAAGCATGCTAAGAAACACTACAGTGTCACTGCCTCCAAGTGACAATGATACATCATTGACCCACAATTGTAATTGCTCCATGTAAATGAAAAGACCCACTGTACTATTTGACCAATTCCAAATTATATTGCTCAGTTGGGACAGATACTCGATTTATTATTTACACTCAATTTGGTCAATTAACTTTTCATATATTTTTTGAATCAGTGCTCTGGACTGATTATGTTAATTACAAAATGTGTAGAGGCAGTGAGAGCAGAGATTGGGGTTAGGTCAATATTTCAAAATTGTCCCAAATCATAATTAATTACCCTACAGAATGGCTCCTTTATATATTATGTTTTTCAAATGTTTTTTCATCAAGAAATTATGTTATGGGACATACATTGAAGTTGTATAGAGAGCTGAAACATTGATATAATACATGGAATGCATCTGTAGTGTGGTATATAGGTTAAAGCATGCATATTAGATTATCACTACCCATCTAGCATTAGTTCATATACTTACATCACCACCCCTGGTGTACCATAGTCGGTAAGGCTAGGTAGGGGAATATGGGTGACATGCTGATTATTGGTCATTATAAAAAGTACGTAATTAAATCAAAGTACAGGGTGGGCAAAAAAAGTCCACTTATTGTTTTATTAGGTACATGTTTCCAGTTAAATGACATTTAATTGTAAGCAGAAATGTCTAAGTTACCAGGACCTTTTGAGGATCACACACCTGCCTAATGTGGACATTAATTTTGATTCACCCAGTCCATGTATATCCATAAAGTGGCAATATCACAACTTCTTGGCATCTTTATTTGTCATAGATTGGAATGCCTAATTATGGTAAAGAAAAATGTCTTGGTTAAGAGTTAAGACTGGTTAAGTGCCAGTGCAGATCAATTGCACTGGTTCTTAACCCAAAAATATCTTAAGTGTATACAGAGAGTAGAGACCCATCAATTGTTTATATTATTCCAGATATTCATAAGAAACCATGTGTAAATGTGGTAAAAAAGCTATAAAAGAAAACTGATTTTTCAGTGTAGGACATTCAGCACCATTTTCAACAAGGCACAGGGTGAACAATATCGTACCTAAAACATAGCCGTGTGGACTTGATCCATTAAGTGGTTTTCCTGGAATCATGATGACAAGATTTATCTAAAAACTTCCAAGATTGCCACATGAATGCAAGGTGGCCACCGATAAGTTAATCAGTTCAAGAACTTCTTACGTTGTAACATGTGTGAAAATTTGAAGCAAATCCCTTAAGTTGTTTTCCTGGAATCGCGATAAGATTTATCTAAAAACTTCCAAGATGGCCACCAGAATGCAAGATGGCAACCAAAAATTTAATCAGCTCTAGAACTTCCTACCATGTAACATGTGTGAAAATTTGAAGCAAATCGGTTCATTTGTTTTCCTGGAATCGAGATGACAAGATTTATCTAAAAACTTCAAAAATGGCTGCCAGAATGCAAGATGGCCACCGAAAAGTTAATCAGTTCAAGAACTTCTTACCATGTAAGGTATGAGGTTCCATATCCATCCGCCAAAAGGTATGACCCCTATATAGTCCATTTAAAAACCTGTAGTATTGTTCTAAATAACACCATAGTTGGCTTCTAGGGTACCTACATAGTATGCCACTATTTGGTATCAAAATAAAGAGGAGGAGTTCAACTTTCATTTGAATTACGAAAATAGCGATGTAGGTCAAAAATAGTTCCGAGGTGAGCATGTTTACTACGCGTTTGCCCATCATCTCAGAATTGAGGAAATGGTAGCAAACGTGAGTTACAATAAATGGACGCTGATATCTCAAAAAGCAACCTGATTCCCTATAATTTGATGTAGATCAATCGAACCCCTATATGAACAGGTACATTTTGATATATAACACTATGGGGGGTAAGCGTTTTAAAGTTGATCACGACCGCCATATGTGCAAAGTATTGATGTGAATTTTCGAATTTGGTGTTGGATTACGGTACTCATACCTTAATATGAGGCCTAAAATTGTCTGCTAGTTGGCCAGAGACCAATATCTGAGCAGAATCGTTTTTTTTTCGTTCTGCGTAGGCCAAATAATGATTTAGAATCACTTCAACCCTTTTGTGAGTATAAGAATGGTCATAAGAGGCCCATGGAGGGTCATGCATGAAAGAGAGCCCTCTGAAATTCTGTCAAAATTGCAGGTTATTTCTTCATTTTTGCTAAAATTACATGATTTTGAGGGCCCATATCTCACTGAAATTGCTACAATGTAGCGATTTTTCATTTTTACAGGCTAGATACATGTGTCAGGTCAACAGAAACAGTAAGCATGTGTGATTTTTAAATTGCTACATTGAGCAATATTTATTTCAAAATAGAGCTGTGGGGGAAACTGCTATTTACTTAGATTTGGGCGAAAATGGCCAAATTTCAGTCAAAATCCTCGGGACATAGGGCCTTTGTCGTAGATTAAGTCAATGAAGCAACTCTTAGTAGAAGGTGTGCCATATAGGGAATGAAAGCTGTTTGTCCGACGTATCATTTTCTTCAATAAACTCAGAGATAGTCAGGTTAGATTTGTGACGTCACAGTGGCAAAGTTAGACTAGCATATTTAGACGTATTTGAGGTAGGGCAAATTAACCCTTTCTAGCCTGAATGGATAAATTTTTCACATATTCAGTCAGTTCCGACATGTTTATGCATTTTTGACTTAAAAATGATATTATCTGCCAAAAAAAGTTGCAGAGACAAAAATCAGTGTGATGTCATAAAACATTAAGGTATGAGGTTCCATATCCATCCGCCAAAAGGTATGACCCCTATATAGTCCATTTAAAAACCTGTAGTATTGTTCTAAATAACAGCATAGTTGGCTTCTAGGGTACCTAGTATGCCACTATTTGGTATCAAAATAAAGAGGAGGAGATCAATCAATCCAACCCCTATATGAACAGGTACATTTTGATATATAACACTATGGGGGGTAAGCGTTTTAAAGTTGATCACGACTGCCATATGTGCAAAGTATTGATGTGAATTTTCAAATTTGGTGTTGGATTACGGTACTCATACCGTAACATGTGTAAAAATTTGAAGTATATCCATTAAATAGTTTTCCTGGAATTGCGATGACAAGATTTATCTAAAAACTTCCAAGATGGCTGCCAGAATGCAAGATGGCTGCCGAAAAGTTAATCAGCTCTAGCACTTTTTACCATGTAACATGTATGAAAATTTGAAGTAAATCCATTGAGTGGTTTTCCTGCAATAGTGATGACAAGGAAGGAAAGTGAGATGCCGCCCGCCGGCTGCCTGTCAAGCAATATCCATAGATCCCAGCCAGGTTCTTTTTTAGTAGGGTCAGAAGCTCAAAGAATAATTCCGAAGATATGTCACTAAGAAAATTTCAAACTTCAAAATGACGGTTGTGCAGCCATTTCAGAAAAATATGAGACAAATCACACCTCAATCGAAGCGTCTTGTTATTCTTTACCTTTCTGATCACTAATGAACGGTATTCAAGCAATCCTGCATTGATAAGAGGCCAAAATAGTGATATTTTATCTTCGGGGTTTTGTCTGTCCAAATCTGAATGGTGCTCCTGTGATTCCAGAAATGTGACGTCAGCATTAGATATTTAAAAATTTGGACACACAAGAGCCCGGATTAAGTGAAAAATATTTGCCGTATTAAAAGTCAAATTACTGTGTCCATAGGTTATTTACCCGAACCAAACAAGTAGAAATAGAAAAAGGAAGATCTCAGCTATAAAATAAGTGCAAAATCTGTCACGGGGAAGCAGGTACCATTTTGTATAAGGAACGTTTTGAAAGGTGGTCACTTTTTTGAAATTTTCCAATTTAGTGTCGCATCTTCTGAATTATTCTTTGAGCCTATGAGATCATAATACAAAACGATCTTGCCAACATCTATGACAATATCGTACCTTTTTAGGTACGATAATAAAAACTTGAAATTGTATCAGAGTTTGTTTCCAACTAAATTCCTGTAGAATAATAATTGAAGTATGCATTGGTTGGGTTGGGTTATTTTGTCTAAGATTAAATGGCTTTTAAGTTGGTAAAATGTTCTACACTCGCTCTTTACCAAAATTTAGGCATTCCTTTCCAATGTTTGTTGGTATTGATTCAATCCATGAAAGGGCACAATGAAGTAAGTGCCTTCTCATTTCAAGAATAAAACATAGAATTGGGGTTAATAATATTAATTACATTGTATTAGTTCACTAAATCATTAAAATAATGTACTTCATAATAAGCAAGTCCCTTCCACCTAAGGATTAAACAAAATAATAAAACATGCAGGTTATATTATTTAAGTTGGGCTTAAGGTCATGCAACACAGAGGTAATGAAGGTTACTCCGTTCAAACCTTAAAGCTTATACACAGACTGAAGTCCCAACCACTGGCAGATCTGGGGGGACAAGGGCTCGGAGCCCCCTGGGTGGGCCCGAAATAATTTTAAGGGCCCAATTAGTGGGCCTTTTTGGTCATTACTGGGCCTTTTTAAGGCCTTATTTTTAAATCTTAGGCCAAATTATCAAGAAAATTTTTTTGTTTGTATTATTGAATGGAAACCTGTGTAATTGATGATTTGCGATCAACGGATGGATTCCATCTTGCAGTGACGTCATAATTAGGCCACATTTCTATAGCTGTTTGATTTTGAGAGATAATCTTCAGTATTTCGTACTTTATTGATTTATTTTTCACGAAAGTGTTCGATTTGACTAGATCAACATTCATTCTAAGCACATGCCAAGTCTAAGATCTTACTGACATGATTTAGATAGCAGTTAAGCGCCCCCCGATTTTGAAAAAAACAGGGGGCGCTTATAGGCATTGATGTTTAGTATGAGTTTCACCGAAACTTCACACATATAAAGGTATACTCATGATCTAGTCAAATCGGCATACCTGGTAAATATCCAACCCATGGTTTTCATAAAAGAAACGATAATATCTTTAGCTCAAAACTGCCATGTGTCCGCCATTTCCTCTCTCCATCATGTCTAATATCATTTTTTATAGGACGTCACACCAATAAGACAAAATACATGACAACAGTATCCATAAACAAAATACCTGAATTCTGATCGCAAAAGGTCAATTGTAGGGAACCATGCATTTTTGTAGAAAAACAAACATTAATGTAGGGACCCATACATTATTGAAGCAAGGCTTTGGAGGGAACTATGTGAAATTGTTGGGAACCATGCATTATTGTACGGAATCATGTGTTATTGTAGGGATCTGTATGATATTGTAGGGAACCAATAAGTTTTTGTAGGGAACATGAGTTATTGTATGATATTGTTATGATATTGAAGGGAATCATTGTTATTACAAGATACCATGCAGTATTGAAGAAAAACAAACATTATTGTAGGGACCCATGCAGTATTGAAGAAAAACAAACATTATTGTAATGACCCATGCAGTATTGAAGATAAACAAACATTATTGTAGGGACCCATGCAGTATTGAAGATAAACAAACATTATTGTAGGGACCCATGCAGTATTGAAGAAAAACAAACATTATTGTAGGGACCCATGCAGTATTGAAGAAAAACAAACATTATTGTAGGGACCCATGCAGTATTGAAGATAAACAAACATTATTGTAGGGACCTATGCATTATTGTAGAAAAAGAAACATTATTACCACCCTGTTGCCAGGCCAGTTCTAGGGGTTTTAGTGCAAGTTTAGAAGGCATTCATTTTACTGTATCGACCTGAGCAATATGTGACGTCATAGTAGTGGTCCATATTGCCTGTCAAGAATGCATTTAATGACCGGCAATTTTCCCCAGGAAATTATATATTGTTCAGTGCGTAAGATTTTCTTGCTGTTTCAGTCCTGGTCATTAACGGTGGTAATGATACTAATAACATCATTTCTGCGGGCAATATAGTGAAATGACGTTATTATACTATTATTGTAGGGACCCATGCCTTTTTGTAGAAAAACAAACATAATTGTAGGGACCCATGCATTATTGAAGTGAGACTTTGGAGGGAACTATGTGAAATTGTTGGGAACCATGCATTATTGTAGGGAACCATGTGTTATTGTAGGGAAACATCGCTATTGTAGTGAACGATGTGCCAACTATACCTGATGAGACAAAGGGGTAGGATTGTGGGGCCACATTCTTAGCCATGTACAAGTCTAAATGTTATGGAATTAGTCATGTATTAAACATTAAACATGCTTTTGTAATGCCACATAAACAAATGCAAATTAATTCAAAATATTCAAGCAAATCAGGTTAGATGAAGCATTATTAAATATTCCAATATATTAGTATCAGCAAAATATAAAATGGAGAAACTATTACAAAAAACATAAAAAATCAAATATTAGGTACATGCATCAACCAAACAAAGAAGTCTCAAAACAAGGCTCAGAGAAACAAGCTTGAATAACAACTTATAAACAAACATATTCATCACTCAATATTCTCAAAACAAAACATGTTCACAAAACATATTTTTGCATACCTTCACTTGTTTCCTCACACATTGAAGCCCAGCATCGACAAACCTCTCAAACATGTCCTCGTGAATTTTCTTGTGCATATCATTGAGTGTTGCAGGCCAGTTGTTGAGCCAAGATTTAAATAAAGGTCGCCACCCAAGTGAGGCAGGCTCCATGTAGATCATACCACATCTAGACACCTGAAACAGAAATTTGCATGTAAATACTTTTTGACAAGAAAGCAATCATTAAAAACTTTGTCATTATACTCCTGACCATTTAAGAAATTGTAATAATGACAACTCATAATATGAATGTAACACATCCATGGCAAATAGATACCTGTGCCAATTTGAAAAGTTTCAACACTTTTTCAAACTGCATTTTTAAGTATCCAGTCTCAACCATAACAGAAGCTTCATAATGTTAAGAATTCGTAAAACCCATTGTTCTCTAACTGTGACATCATTATTATATCCATGGTTACAACAATTGATTTACGAATTCGTAACTTTACTAAGTTTCGGTTAATGACCCCCATGTTACCTTAGTAGTTTTACAGTTAAATACAAAGCACACTTACTGTAGCAGGTGATGCAACCTCAAGGTCCATGGGTTCGAAAATGAGATTGGTTGTGTTGGCCAGCTGAATGATCTCTCCGCTCATAAGACACAACTTCCTGTTATCATCCAGCACTGTATTCATATTCTCAATCCAAACTGCATCTACAGGTCCATCAAATATCAGCCATTTACGGTCTGGTGTCTGAAATGAGAGATATTGAGCTGGTGTAACAACGCAGCAAATAATTCATTGGTCCATCAGCACAGAAAATATGGTAAAAATCTGGGTACTTGCATCTATGTATGCATCAAAATTTATGTGCGCATCAATTTAAAGATTACAATGCATTCAACATACATTTCTTTGGGGTGGTTGTCAAAGTTGTTCAGGCCAAATTCTATAAATCATGGATAAAGTCAAGTTGTCTACCAATAACCCTCATTATATCACACTTTTGTTGTTTAATCAAATGACAATAATCTTTAAGAGAGCCTCGGTAAATCTTATAGATAAGACTGACATGAGAACGTAGCAGCAAACACAGTTGAACTATAGCATTTACATATAAGAACAAGATACATACTGTAGATGATGCAAATTGTCTGTATGATATAGCCAGTATACCATCAGACCATTCATGGGAGACAGGGTCAAACTGTCCATACAACTGGCCCATTGTGATAGATTTGGGGTTTATCACAGTTATCTGGACTTTGTTTTCTTCCATCAGTCCCTTCTCATGTATATCAGCCAATGCTCCTGAAAGGACACGGTACGCACTGGTTTTCCCACCAAAAGGCTCACCGACGATCATGAAGCCGTGACGCACTATCATCATCTCGTAAATCTGGAAACAGTTGAGCATGAATTACACATGAACATTATCTTGAACAAAAAACTATTTAAGTATTTTTTATCATGATTAGCAGATTTTGAAATGTTTGAATTTTCAGGGACAGGTCATTGCATGTATTAATAATTAATAATTTCAATATGTAGGTGTCATGATATTTTAGACTATCCAATATTGACAATGTTATTGCCAATTATTATGAAAACAATGATTGTAATAATAATAATATAATATAATAATAATAAAAGTGGCAATATACTTGTTGTATCTTCTCCAAGAAGAAGTCTGTGCACTGAAGGTTCATCTTGGCCGCATTCTCTTTTACAGCCTCATTCAGTATCTCATAATCAGGGGTAGGGAGGGTCACTCCCGGGAACAGATCAGATGTGATGCCATGGAATAGTGGCAAATCATGGTTCAAGAATTTAGGCAAGTTGACATCAATGATTGATCTCAACATCAAGATGTCTTCATTTTCTTCTGGATATTTCAACTAAAACAGATATTTAGATTATTTAAATTTTGTTCAGAACTGAATCAAATTCAAGCATGTTTTAATTTATTCACTAAACCATCATACTAGATGTATCCCTTAGTCTAAGCCTCCACATGCACATGTATCTTGGCACATAAACATTTACAATTAACAAAGAACACAAGATAATTTGGAAATCATTTACTCACCTTTAAATTTCCAGCAGCTGTAAGTACAGATTTGACAGCACGCATACCATAATCATAATGGTGCTGGGATGACAGTTGTTCTGAGCATAACCTATAGGTGGCAACAATCTTGACAGAGAGAGGACGTGCATTCACAAAACCACAAGAGTAAAGTACGATCTCTGAGATCAGAGCATAATCAGGGACCATCATAGCCACTGTACGGAACAAAGCCTGGAACCATAACATACCATTATATAATTGTTAAATTAAGCGTACATTGTACTTTTTATTTAGCTAGACTTTTGTATTTGCATTTACATGTGTACATCTGTTCACATCACGTCTATGTATTTGAGTGCTGTAATGAGATTGCACAGACTGTTTAAAAGTTTCATATTCTGCAATCAAATGCCTTGAAGATATTTCAAGAAAATTGCATTTTGACAGAAATTTAAAAGTATTTTGAAAAATAGTAATATTAGCATAAAGATATGATATAAAAACCTACAGTACCTTTAAGTTATCTGGTAAATCTGATCTCCCAGCGTAGCCAGGGTTCATAGTGATGAACACCGAGCATGTGGGGTTCAATTTGATCTCAGTGCCTTCAAATATCATAGTCTCTGAGCCAGAATTGATCCCTCTTTGGATGGTGAGAATCTGCTGAGCCACTACAGACAATACCTCAAGGTCGATACGATTGAACTCATCAAAGCATGACCAGGCTCCACATGAAGCTAGACCCTGAAATATTCAGAGGATTTTATATTAATTTGATGAGGTTTTTTAGGAAACATCAAATAGGATACATTATGATTTAGTGTTCATCATTTCAAAATTACAAATCTTCTATATTGATTGCTTTCCAACAACTGCCTATTTACCTTAAAGAACTTTCCAAGGGCAATGTAATCCAGACCATCAGAGCAATTGAAGACAACACATTGCTTTGCAACAGCCTTTGCCAAATCCTTGGTGGTCTCTGTTTTCCCTGTTCCAGCAGGACCCTCAGGGGCACCACCCAAGTGAAGATGTAGGGCTCCAAACAATGTCCTAGAAAAATAGTGCATATTTTCAATGGAAGATTTCTGGACCAACCAAGTACAATATGAATCAACAACGTTGATGTAAATTCATTTTGTACTGACACAGCCAGTTGATTTCATATCATTGCAACTAAGTGCTGATACATATAGAGTTTGATGATATCCCATACAGAATATACACCATCAAAATTGACAAATGAAATCGTTTAAAAGCTCATCAACATCTCACCTATAACATCTATCAGTGAGAGGTGTGATGACCAGTCTTCCACTGTTCCCTAGATATTCATAACCATAGGCCAACATAGAGTTGATCATCCTAGTCACCATGTCACCCTCCTACACAGAAAACATCATAGAGCCTATTAGAGATAGTGTACAGGGCAAAACAGAAATTTACAAAATTAGCTTGTAAAACTCGACAAATTCATAGTTCAGACTTTTTGAGATTTTGTGCTACAGTTTTATTTACTTTTCTTTCTAAAGGATTGGTTTCGATATGGTGAACTGAATTCAACAATGTTTTTCTCTTAAAGGTGGAATGCCGAAAATATAAACACGATTGAACTTAATTCTGGAGTTACTTGAGAAATTTCAGCTCCGTATGATATAATTTTGCAGATTTATAGCTGATTATAAGTAGTTGGTATGGCCATCACTTGCCGCTCGAAAAGCAGCTAATCTGGATGGATATGACTTCAGTGAAGATTCAAAGAGAGGTTCAGCATTGCGTAATCCTTAAAGCACTTTCCTCATATTCTTCAGAAATACATCCTAACTGTATCTATTTTCAAGAGGCCCCCTCTCCATCAATTCCCCTACCCTATCTTTTACAATTGAACCTATATGTTCAGCGTAGTTGAGATCTGGGCTATTTTCTACATATTAATCATTTCCAAGATTTGACCTTAAAGCAGTAATAAAGTAGCAAACAAAGTACTGAAGTAGCAAACTTCGAAACAATATAGCTTTTTTAATTCAAAGTTTTATTAAATGAAATTTGATGAGTAACTCCAGAATTAAATTATCTTTCAAATGAGATATGACATGCCATGTAACATTTAGGAGTTTTTGTATTTTAGTGCAATTTGTTTTGTTCCTTTTTACCAATTCTTGAGAATGAAATAAAATATCTTTCCGAAGCTTGTTGGAACAAAATAGCATATAACACCCCGACATTTGAACTCGGAATCCTACAAATACTCGGACTTCAGCAAACATTAGGTTTGGGCAAATTAGGTTCAATTCTTATGCCGGGCATAAGAGTAGATCTGTTCTTATGCCGGGCATAAGAGTAGATCTGTTCTTATGCCGGGCATAACAGAAGATCTGTTCTTATGCCCGGCATAAGAGAAGATCTGTTCTTATGCCCGGCATAAGAGAAGATCTGTTCTTATGCCCGGCATAAGAGAAGATCTGTTCTTATGCCCGGCATAAGAGTAGATCTGTTCTTATGCCCGGCATAGGAGAAGATCTGTTCTTTAGTCTGCATAAATAGAAGATCTGTCCTTATACTTTGCAAAAGATAAATGACAGTAAATTTGTTCACTTCAAGTTTACGTTATTACCAGTATTGGTCATTATTTCAATGCTCTGATAGATTTTGTACACCAGTACAGCAGTAAATAACAAAGAAATTTTGTATTTATTTATAACAGTTCACTTTATATTCAAATCATTAATTTGATTTAATCAATATATCACTGTATATGTATTCTTTTGAAGTTAGTATAGATAATTATAATGGTGTTTGAATTTTTAGTCAATTAATTTTTTTGCTAAGTTGGTTTTGACTTTAATGTATTGTCAGTAGCACTGTGTTATGGAGCTTCAAATGTAATTTCAATTCTCTGTTGACTTGAAGGATCCATAGATCTGTAGATTTGCAGAGCTTTTACGACAACATTTTACTTGAAGTTGTAATCCAGATGTAACCATCCATATCATGAAGTAGCCATCCTTAGCTCATAGTCATAGGAGGGATTTTAGGCTTATTCATATAAAGTACCTTCCCAAATGATCTCCAAATTGATTGAATTATATGCTGGAGTCAGGACATCAAATGGTAGATGTAATCAATGTAATTGACTGTACATAGTACAATAATTGGTATACACATTGTACATATACATGCACTGTGTAGCCAGTGTGCAGTACAGCAAAAGTTTCCTTTGTTTATGTTGGTATTACCATTTACCATGGTCCTCAGAATGTAAACACCAATATCGGTCCATCCATGTGAAGAGGGTGGACTCTAGCCTATTGTCTATAGTCGCTACAGTCACAAAGAACAACATAATGATGGAACAGAACAGTTTAGGCCCAGATCTGCAGAGTCATATGGTGTAGGGAGCCAAGGGGTAAGTACATTTTCAGCAACTGCCTAAATTGCAATACATCTGTTGTGTCTTTTGGCACCTTTCTGCTTTTCCAACATTCTGAAAATGACAAATGACAAACTAATTTTCAGCAATGTACAATATAGAAAATGTCTGTTCCTATCCCTGTCATACGAATTCAAAATGAAATCTGTGTTAGGCTATCCTAATCTTCATACAGTATTAGAGAGACAGAGACTTTTAAATTCATGTAATTTTGTGCTCCAAAGAATGAAGACAGTCATGAATTTATTTTCAGCTTTGAAATTGAATTGACATGATTGAGGATTGATTTACAAATTACATTATTTTAAATATTTTCCACTTCTACAGGCTTATTAATTGTTTGAAATCAAAAACATTCATGAAAACATACCCAGAATTCTGCAACAAATTTGTTCCAAATTACATCAGCCAGTTGATCTTTTGCTTCTTCCATTTTTCTGTGCTGTCTGCTAAATATTTTGACCTTGGTTGCCATGACACATGTTTGTTTATATGTTTGTTTGATGACATCAGATTCTAAGAATTCTCTATCTTGAACTTTCTCTGCTTGTCATATGCTTGGTTGCCATGACACAAGAAGATTTGTTTACATTGACCTGGCTTTGACCCTGTTTGTTTGATGAGTCATAATTCATAATTTAGCAGAAGACATATCTAGGCTCACACATGCACTGACAGACACACAGCCTTGACAGAAAATCTTTGTTGGAAAAGTGTCCTAGGCAATTGAATACTTGTAGATCTTTCTTTGGCAGATTGGTATGTAAGTAAATGTATATTACTGAAATAATGTTCATTATTTATAAATGCTCAAATAATTTTTAATGAAATTCATAGAAAACCAGAGAGATGAAATGTGAATGTTTCACCATTTTTTCTCAAAATGGAACAAGTGACTTGACTGATGATTTCAGATTTGGCTTTGACTTGTCATTGAGTTTTTTCTAAATATGAGATGATGTTCATTAGTTTATTGAGTTCAATACAAATGTGGGTTTATTTATAGGGCCCTAGGAGGGGGAGTAGGTGGTAAAGCAAGAGTTAATAATTGGTCATATTTAATTTTTTCTTATGTAAATACTTTTTCCTCTAAATTTGAAAGTGTATGTAATGAGTCTACATTAGGAGAAATGGTCCTATCACCGCATGGGTAGGGGAAATGGTCCTAATTATGGCACAATTGTCCTAAATAGCTAAAATATGCAACCACCATGTTTTAAACCAGTGTTACGAAAAACAGTTCAACACCATTACTCCAAATCTTCATGATTTATTCAATTTAAAGGTGTTATAACCAAATGCCATAAGGCCATGAGAAGAAGACTCTTTGTTTTGCGTCCTGGCAAAATCCAAATCATGCAAGGGTGCAAGGAAAACAAACACAAACTCAAGAAAAAAACACTTGTTTGCTGGGAAATGCAGGCCTGTCAACTGTCCCGCAATTTGCGTATTTGTCACGCATTTGCTGAAGAATTTGAAGTCACGCCAGTTTTTTTTGCGTGACAGAAAATGTCACGCAAATACGCATTTTACCTGGTAATTGTCAAGCAAAAATATTTCTGTAGAAAATTTTTCGAAAAATGTTTACGATACGGTAAAAATACGAACGTCGGAAAAAAACCGAACGCAATTTGTTCGGATTTGTCACGCGAATCCCGTATATGTCACGCATGTTCATTGGAAATTTTCGTACCTACCCCCCCCCCCCCCCCGCTGACGACATCTCGAGCGTAGCGAGCGCGAAAAATTTGAGGTGATCAAAGTTTGGCAAAGGTGCTCAAACTTTGGCCAAAGGTGTTTAAAAGTTGGCCAAAGGTGTTCAAAATTTGGACAAAAGTGTTCAGATTTGGACTTAGGTGTCCAACATTTTGAAGTCACTCATATTAGGTGGTCCCAAGTTGACAGCCCTGGAAATGTATACATTTTATGGGCATAAAAAGGAATGGCATACCAATTTGCAGTGATTACAAACACATATCTTTACATTTTATACAATATATTTAAACATAGCTATCATTCAAGGGTAAAAAATAAGAAAATTGCACGATGAGAGCCAAAGTAGTCAATAACACCGTCAATTTTGTCATGCGTCAAATTATCGTCCATTTCGTCTGATTCTGATTGAACGAAATGCGATGGTACTTTCAGACCCTTGTGATTGCTATTTGGATGTGTTTGTTTTTTTCTGATTTACTCACAATCGTGCAAGCAATTGGATGCAAAACAAAGAATCTACTTCTTATGGCCTTATACTGACACACATTGTAAAGTTTTCCTGCGCCAATGTGTATATATCTGCGTGTAACCTTTGGAGACAATGCAAACGCAACTAAATTGATAGATAAATTAACGATCAAACACTCCTCAAAAAAAGTTAAGGACCGGTCTTTTTTTCTCATAGGTTTACATGTTAAACCCCATGTCTGTTTGAACTGTTATTTTCAAAGCCCGAAACGAAAGAAAAACTGATAATGTAAATGGATATGTAGCTTGACTCTATTCTCTATATTTCAGAAAATTTTCAATTCAATCTCCGTTTGTCAAAAATTGATGTCAAATTTGAGGAATTTAATAATAAAAATGGCAGGACCAATGTAAACCAATTGGAAGGGGTTGGGTTGCCAAGCCAAAAGTCATATGAGAAAATATCCATCCATACAATTCTTCTCAAAAATAAAATTTAAATAGACAATTGAATTTGCTAAATTTTCCACAACAAAAATTGATTTGTTTCTCCAGGTTTTACAAAGTTATGAATCTCAAAAGTCAAAATCATTTCTCGATAAACCTCCCATTGAAATAACACAGGGGTCAAAAATGAGTTGTCAAAAATACTGTAAAACGGGTATTGTTAGCGAGGGGTAATTGTTAGCGATTGTTAGCGATCGCTATAGTTTCGCTAAAAATTCTCATTCGCTTTCAATATCTGAAGGATAAATAGCCATCCATAGCCAA